TCAGAATATAAATTCAAATTATGTAATTCAAATTCATATTTTCTCCATGCAGAGTGTCCTGAATAATTATTTGTTACAAAATTTGAATTATTATGGTAAGCTTTAATCTAATGGAATGGGGACTTTTATTATACTAATCCCTATATCATTGAAATCTGATGGAATACACATTAAATATTTCAAACTATGATTATTTGATCTATCAGAATTTATAGTTTGAAATATCATTGGTCCACGACATTAGGTTCCAAAGACAAACGTAGGGATAGTTTCATGATTAAGAAAAAAGGATATGTAAGTGGCAACTTTCCTAGAGTATTTTTCCAGGTGGCAACTTCCCAAATGTTCAATTTTCCAAGCCACAGTGCTCGGCACCCTAGCATTTTCTAGCCACAGCGCTTAGCCCCCCTAGCCCATCCTAGCCACACCGCTCGGCCCCTTTGTAGCCTGCAGCACCTCAGAAGGCCTAATCTAACCTTTGGGAAGTTGCCGCTTGGAAAAATGTACATTTGGGAAATTGTCACTTGGGTAGTCACACTTGGGAAAATGCCTTTGGGAAACACCAAAAGGAATAAGGATGAAATATGAACTGTGTATTTATTCAAAACTACACTGATTTGCTGCCCATAAAGTTGACATTTTAACCGAGTCTTTTAAACATCTTGAAAATGAACTTATTTTTGCCTGAAACTCTAATACGTATATCCATGCACAATAATGGTGTAAACTTTTCATGTTTTACCCTTTGCTGTTCAATCCAACATAATATAGAGGTATCGAAATCTACGACATCAGGTTGCTAAGATATAAGGATTATGCAAGAGCTCAAGGAGAGTATTCAGTTCCTTTATGGAACTTTATATGAGTTATTTCAATTCAAGAAGTACTAAACCAGTTTTCTAGAATGTACAATGTACAGCTGAATTCCCTCCGTATGTAAATATAGTACTGTACATTGTACATGAATAGAATACATAATTTATATATTTTCTTGTACAGAAGATTGGGAAGGGAATTACTTCACTCAACTTATGCATTAGATTCCATTTTGGTTCCATTTATATAATCTTGCTTCATAAATATCCAGGGGAAATATGCTAAAATATCTACGCAATTTAAAATGTTTTTCTAAGCATTAGACCTAAAACCATCTGAATATGATATGAAGGTCTTATTTTAGAGTTAAAAAAAATGAATGACGTTTATCGTGTGTTAAGCAAAAATGGACATTGAGCAAACCAAACAAATTAAAACTGTTCAGAATAATGAGACGAATACTGAGGAATAGAAAACGACTGTTAGAATCAAATTATGATTTTAAATAGGCCAATGAACATTAAAAACAGCAAATACGTTGGTTTTCAAACTATTATTATAAGTATTTGCTTTATAGCATTAAATACAAAAATATGCTGAAATATCTAAACAATTGGGTTATGGTTTATCCTATTTTATAGGATGCATTCATCTCAGTTTTCAATCAATATCAATATATTGGATAGGATGCATTGATTAGAGTTACGCCCACTAATTCTTTTTTTGAGTGTTTTTTTTTCTATAATTGCAGTAATTATAAAACCAAAAATAATACAAAAAGACATAGAAAGTGTAAGTAAAAAAAAAACCAAACTTACGTATATATATCAAATATACGGCAATATGTTTTATCTTCTGTATCTAGGAGCTGTACATATATATGGGTTCTTCAGTAATCTACCGTTATTTATTAGACCAATTTAAAGATCTGGAATTCTCTGACTCATCCTGTTTAGGGTGGGGGGTTGAGGATTCAATGGATAGATGAAAGAAAAAAATGGAGAAACTAGGGGGGGGGGATTAAAAGAGGAACAAAAAATTGGTAAATTAAAAAAGAAGAGGAGGTGGTTAAGTGACAAAGGAACTAACAAATGAAGATTGGAGGGAAATTAATGGAGAAAATTTTTTTAGGAACATTTATTTGATTAAAAGGAGGGGTTATAATAGAGGAACAAAAAATGAAGTATGGAGGTAAATTGAAGGAGAAGAGGAGGGGTTATAATAGAGGAACAAAAAAATGAAGAATGGAGGTAAATTGAAGGAGAAGATGAGGGGTAATAATAGAAGAACACAAAATGAAGAATGGAGGTAAATTGAAGGAGAAGATGAGGGGTTATAATAGAGGAACAAAAAATGAAGAATGGAGGTAAATTGAAGGAGAAGAGGAGGGGTTATAATAGAGGAACAAAAAATGAAGAATGTAGGTAAATTGAAGGAGAAGAGGAGGGGTTATAGTAGAGGAACAAAAAATGAAGAATGGAGGTAAATTAAAGTAGAAGATGAGGTATTATTACATTTTCTTGCAAAATTTCATTGAACCCAGGGACCTATGTCAAAATCTGCTGATTTTCAGATTGACTTTTTATTAACAGAGAAGTTGGCAAATTCATTCAGTTTTTACCGAGAAACTTGAACATGAAAACTGTAAGTTTCAATGGAGTTCTCGCTATTCAATAGAATCTATGTTTTGTTGTAAAATTGAAGAAGAAAAAGTGGATTGTAAAACTATTTTTCTCCGTGCATTATAAAACAATAATCTGATTAATGATAGTTTAAAATATCCATTAAATCGAATTAAAACAGAATTTCTAAGAAAATTAAAAATCATTTCCAAAGAGAGAGGATAAAAAATGAATACAGTTTAGAGCTTTCATGTTTGAATTTACAATACAAAACAAACTTTTCTCATTAAACATGAAAGGAATTGAGTCTTTGTCACAAACTCTGATTTCCAATTTTCTTTATCTCTGGAACCCAATGTCGTGGGCATTAGATATTTCAAACTATGAACCTTGTTAGATTAAATATTCAAAGTTTGAAATATCATACTTTACATTATCAGGTTGCAAGGATATAAGGATACAAAAAATTATGTTTGTGGCATAGACTCAATTCCTTTAGTAATAAAATTTACTTTGTCTTTTACTTTCAGGGCTTCTGAGAAAAAAATAAAAATATTTCTTCGTCAATTTTTGAAACTACACTTAACAGTATAGACATTATCTCAAGATCGGTAGAATACTGTATTTCTTGTGTAAGTGTGTCAATTCCAGCGTTTATTGGGACACTCGAAACATTATCGCGACTGTATGTTTACAGAGTATATAAAGTTTCTACGGAAAAGAAATTCGTCGCCTGGATTCGATCTGATCATTAACCCATGAATAATCTTTAATGGTTGGTTCTGATATGACCCATATGTTATATACCATTAGTGGAATATTGCAAAAGTGAAAATATATTACTTTATCTAGCAGTGCCAGTATATATGTATATACAATATTATAGCCTACCTTAATAAACAATAGAAAATCATATTTATTGGAAATATGACCATTCAAACCGGTAAATCAGACTTGTGTACGCTTCCATTGTTTAGGAAAAAAGTCTAATTGATTCATATCCCAAGATGTCTGCTATTTTTACTCGAGTCTCAAGAACAAGATGAAGAGTAACGACTCATGGTGAAGATATTAAAGATAAAGAAAGGAATAGAGATGAAAGTTATATTAACATGGTTTAGCCTATTCCCTTTCTAATTTCCGTGAACCCTCCCTTTAATGTTTATTTATTCCAAAGATCTCTGTAGTAGCAACTATTTGAAGGAATACTACTTTATAACAAAGGTTTGAACTACTTCGAGTATATGTTGGCTCTGGGTTTTTGCTATCATTAAAAACTTTATAGAAGGTTTCTTCCATTAGTATTATCAACTTCTAGAATTTAGTTTAAAAGATTAAACTTTGTCTAGAGACAAGATATAAAGTTTAGGGGAGATAAAATAACTTTAATTAAAGTGCTGAAAACTCGGGAAAACTTGTGAAAGGTTAATGAACCATATATATTTGAATATTTTAAACCCGTATCATTTAACAAATGTATATTGTACATCTCATGAAAGAGTCTGTTGATGCAATTTAATCTGAAACTTCAGAACCCGTTTTCTCCATAGAAAGTGGTCGTGTAGTTCACGTAATTTAGGGGACGATATGTTGGCCGCTAGATGTCTCATGCTAAATTCGTATCTGATAGATATTTCTCCGTACATTTGACGACCAATATAAGAGACGTCAAGTTGTCGACCAATGTAGTTTATGGAATTAACGGCCTCAGTGCATAACTGCTTCAAAACGGTACCATTTAAACATATTAATGAGCAAAATTGATGGAGGTATCCTGGATTGATTTTCCTCATTAAAAGTGAAACGGTAAGATGCTGATCGAAATATTCTTATTTAAAGATAAAATTACTACCATTTATATATTTGCTACTCACTGTTTGATTACATTTTTGTATATATCAACCTTGCTTAAATGTTCCAAGAGAGCAGTTTCTCATTTTCTCCAATATGAATTTATAAAACATGAGATACAGGCAAAACTTAATATAAAACCAATCAGGGTTTGTCTACTGGATCCCGGCTCAATTTTAGCACCACAAAGATATCATTAATTTTCTCGAGAAATATTGACAGACTTTGTTTTCTTTAAAACTATTGTGGATAATAATATTATAGCGAACATTTGTTATTACAGTCATTGATCTTGAGAAGATATCTCAAGAATCGAATAACTCATGGAGCCCAACCAATTATTACACCACCCTGCCTTCTGAGGTTTTCATTTTATGTCATTCAACGTAATGACCCTCGACAACGACTATAATCCAATACCAAAGTTCGGTATGTTGGGAGCGAGAACGAATTCCCAAATTGGAACTTTGGTTGCAATCTTGGGATGAGAGTTCGTTCAAACCTCAACTATCATTATTCCATTATAGTCTAACCCAGCGCATATTGCAACGACCAATACAAAAGCCCAACAGACTGGCGGAATAAAACTCCTAACTCAGCAATTCTTGAAACACTAAGCAGAAAAAACTACCAAAACTTTTCTGATCAGAAAACAGAAGTCAGCAAACTTTTACATCAATAAATGTCAAAATACAAATGTCAGCAGCATTCTTTTCTAATCTTTTAAATTTATTTCATTTTAAATAAATATGCGATTGCGAGCTTTAACAATTATAAAACAAAATAACGAATTGATCACAGATTACACGGAAAGGACAAGATAGGCTGATTTGATCAGTGGATTTTGATATTTAAACTCTAGATTAAACTCGTTAAACCTCTATTTTTTTTACCCCATCCTGTGTAGGGATTATATGTTTTTACTCTTCAGGGGTTATCATGCACAATCACTTTACCACGTAAAAGAACAACTATCTTCTTATCCTATCTATGTGTTGACCATATCACAGATCTAATCAATTCTAAATGTAGAAGACGTAAGTAAAGGTAATATAGGAAAATATTTAAGCTTGTAAATAAAAACAAAAACAAAAATAGAAAGATATCAATTAATTACAGGAATAACAAATGAGGAGGTTGTGACAAATATAAAGGATAGAACATAGTGATCAGGATAGAGACAAGAACTAGGTTGGTTGGATGAAGGATGAACATGACTCCAGGAACAGGATTATCAGGGTAGAGACAAGAACTAGGGTTGGTTGGATAAAGGACGGAAATGAATCCAGGAACAGGATTATCAGGGTAAAGACAAGAACTAGGGTTGGTTGGATAAAGGATGAACATGAATCCAGGAACAGGATTATCAGGGAAAAGACAAGAACTAGGGTTGGTTGGATAAAGGATGCACATGACTCCAGGAACAGGATTATCAGGGTAAAGACAAGAACTAGGGTTGGTTGGATAAAGGATGCACATGACTCCAGGAACAGGATTATCAGGGTAAAGACAAGAACTAGGGTTGGTTGGAAAAAGAATGAACATGACTCCGGGAACAGAATGATCAGGGTAGAGACAAGAACTATTGGATGGATAGAAGATAAATATGAATCTAGAACAGGATTTTCAGAGTAGAGACAAGAGCTAGGGTTGGTTGGATGAAGGATGACCAAGAATCTAGTAATAGAATGATTAGGGCATAGCCACAAGAACTAGGGTTGGTTGGATGAAGGATGAACATGACTTCAGTTTCAGAATATCTAGGGAAGAGAGACGAATTCTGGTTGGTTTGAAGCCGGAAGAACATGAATCTGCTGAGCTCTGGACATGTTATAAACCTGACCCGGAGAGAATGGATCTAGTCTAGCTCCGCCCAAACCTCCGCCTCGTCCTTCAGCAGGGATATATTTACTAAGGCGGACAGTTGGAAGGGGCAGATGTCCTCCGGACAAGGGCATCACATCCACAATAATATTTTGCCTAAAACAGGAGATCCTTAATTTTAAATTTTACTTACGCGATGCATATAAAAGAAATGATGGAAATCATAAACAATAATCTACAACTTTTGGGGTTAAACTGTTAGTTTGTCAATTTTTTTCAAAATCAAATATTCTTCTTTGAAAGAATTAATTAACATACATCTAATACTATAAGGAGTAATAGCGACCCAAGATTGGAGATGGTGATTCTAGAAATTATAACTTCTGATTAAAACCTGAAGGATTGTTGAAGATTGATAACTGCTCCTTGTCTCCCACAAACTGCCCACTGTGTCTGATCTGCTAAAACCTAAATATATCAAGATTATAAGTATTTCCTCTCTTATCTTCTTCAAAAATATTTTCTCATTTTCAAGTTTGATAATCTTGGTAGAAGTTTAACAATACAGTTACTGTAAGTTTAAACCATGATAAGAACTTGAACCTCGTAGAAAAGAGAAGTATGTGGAGCTGTGTTTAGTTGCTCTAGTTGTATCGTCATAGGGCACAGTGTACTCGCTCGACAGAATTCATTACCTTCAATATTTACAAATTAAAATACAAGTTTGAAACTTTATGCAAAACTGGAAAATATCAGAACCTGTTCCGATATGTATTCTGAAACTATCAGTCCCAAGATAAATTTAAGATTAGACTAATAGAAGTCTTACCTTTAGCAGGTTCAACCTTGGCGTGTATGGTATACAATGTTCTATAGTCCTGGAACTGATATATAGCGGAGAAGGAACGCTCCGGTTCAGATCTATCCTCAGGAACGTAATCAAGAGTAAACTTGACTTTAGCCGGAGTCTCGTCATTTTTCACTTCTCCTATATCCAGCTCCCAGAGGAATGAACCCTCAAACTGTTTACTAATCACTATCTCCGGATACTTCTGGTTTATAGGAGTAAGTTTAAGCCCTGATATCTGTTGAACATTAATGATTTCCATCCTTCCGTTCTTAAGGACGTAGTTTCCTGAAGAAGGAGAGAGAACGGTGACCTGGAGAAACTTCTTTGACATAGCAGTGAGAAGAGAAAAGGTTGAGAATATAACAGGGACAAAATGAAGAAAAATTTCCTTACTTTCCTCGTTCCAGGGATTAGTTACAAATATAGATACAGGGGAGGAGGTTGCATCCTTCTTATTCTCCAGGTCTGCTAGAACCATCAGGTCAACACTTACGGTTTGGAATGGTTCTCCGGCAGGGAACTGAACTGAAAGAGTTGATGAATATTCCAGGTTGTGCTCCGGGTTGCGGAGTTGTACCCCCCTAGAGCAGGTGAGCTGGAGTTCAGTTCCAGAGACTATACTCTCACTACCACAGTATACACTTAGGCTCAACTAAAACCAGAAAATATTAATCGAAAGTTGTTGAATCTATTATGTATTAATGTATTTTTGTATCAAAGGCTAAAATCAAAGTAGAGTTTTTTTTTAGAAAAAAGATTTTATAGGAAAAAAGAAAACACATGAATTTCAAGATTACGTAATACGGATGAATAAAAAGCAGCAACACATGAACGGAAGGAAGAACGAATAAAAGAACTAAAGGAAGGAAGAACGAAATAATAAATTGATGAATAAATAAATAAATAAATAAAAGATCAACCATCATTCCGTGGAAATCAAGGCCGAGACCCCATCAAAAATAACCACCAAAGGATGGAAATTAATGTATATCCGATTATGACATAAGTCTAGTGTGATCGAGACATCGAGGTCTAGGCCAGTGACAGAAGTCACCTCCCCACTGCACACAAACAGCGCCTGGACTAGTGCATAAACGGATGAATGAATAAATAAATGATTGCAACCTTGTTTTCTACTCCTGAGAAGAGTTCTCCCTCCCCCTTGGTTAGAAGTATAACTGGATCCTCCCTGGCAACTGTGAAGGACGGAGCAGGATAGGGTATATTCTGGAGCATGTTTAATTGCGCTACATGAACAGATATCTGAAAATATCATCTATTGAACGAGTAATTAAACTCATAACTCCTGACCTGATTAGGCGGGTAAACTCCCAAGTTCTGACCTAATTCAGTGAGTAAACTTCTAAGTCCTAGCTAGATTAAGTGAGTAAACTCCTAAACCTGACCTGATTAAGTAAGTAAACTCCTAAGTCCTAGCCTGATTAAACTCCTAAGTTCTGACCTGATTCAGTGAGTAAACTTCTAAGTCCTAGCTAGATTAAGTGAGTAAAATCCTAAACCTGACCTGATTAAGTAAGTTAACTCCTAAGTCCTAGACTGATTAAACTCCTAAGTTCTGACTTGATTCAGTGAGTAAACTTCTAATTCCTAGCTAGATTAAGTGAGTAAACTCCTAAACCTGACCTGATTAAATGAGTAAACTCCTAAGTTCTGACCTGATTAAACTCCTAAGTTCTGACCTGATTAAGTGAGTAAACTCCTAAACCTGACCTGATTAAGTGAGTAAACTCCTAAACCTGACCTGATTAAGTGAGTAAACTCCTAAGTTCTGACCTAATTAAGTGAGTAAACTAGTAAGTCCTGACCTGATTAAGTGACTAAACTTAGGTCCTAGCCTAATTAAGTGATTAAACTCCAAAGTCCTGACCTGATTAAGTGAGTAAACTCCAAAGTCCTGACCTGATTAAATGATTAAACTCCAGTCATGACCTAATTAAGTGAGTAAACTCCAAAGTCCTGACCTGCTAAAGTGAGTAAACTCCTAATGCTGACCTGATTAAGTGAGTAAACTCCAAAGTCCTGACCTATTATGTGAGTAAACTCCAAAGTCCTGACCTGATTAAGTGAGTAAACTCCAAAGTCCTGACCTGCTAAAGTGAGTAAACTCCAAAGTCCTGACCTATTATGTGAGTAAACTCCAAAGTCCTGACCTGATTAAGTGAGTAAACTCCTACACTGGCAGCAACACCACAAATAATATACTTGTTTATACCAGGGTTCAGCATTACCTACAAAATGGAATATAAAATGGATCTTTTATAAAACAATCAAATTAAAGGAAGTGAAAACAACTTGATTTCTGTTTTCAGTTTTTTTTCAAAAAAAAGCCAAAACGTTTGAACCAATTCGGTGCAGTAAGCAGTTGAAAATATTACTGATACAAAGGGAAGACTTACAAAATGCTATCCGTAAGTGTCTTTATGTGCGACAGCTGAATTTTAAAACATGCCGTTTGAGAAAATCCTTACATTTTGTAATGAGAGAGAGTGTGAGTAGTCTGCAGGTTTAAGTTGTCCATCCTTCAAAATTGCTCCGGAGCTATCCTTCCTTTTCAACAACTTAGTTGCATTTCTACAAACCAACCTAATCATACCATATTCAGCTCTTGTTTGTAAACAATCTACAGTATGAATCAGGGGATCTAAAGTTATTTTAGTACTACTTTGATTAGTTGGTCTTTAGTGGAACTCATCTCTGTTCGTCTTTCTATTCTATCTCCGTTCATAACTCATGAACCTCTTGACCGATGTGATTAAAATTTATATCGGGGAAACTCGGTAGTACACCAGGACTTATATATACTAGCTTGGGAGCCCAGCTTTGCCTGGAAACAAAGTTTTCCCCATAAATCTCAACCCAATCAACTGATTTCTTTTAACCAAGCAAAGAAATTCCCCTGATTATATTTCATGATTGGTCCTTGGGTTCCTGAGTTATGATCGGACATACATACAAACAAACAGATATATAGAGATAACTACTTTATAAATATAGAAATTGATGCAACGATTTTCTCTCTCCATTTTAATGTTTTTTTCCTTCATATTTATGATGTGTGCACTATGCAAAGAAAATAGAAGCCGCTTGAAATATTCTTACCTTGCAGCACACAGGCTTTTATCCTGTTTATACTCCAACCTCTCCATTAGATCAAGTTTAGACGGATCCCTGCATCCATCCTCTCCTAGCTCCTCATCCTGTTCTCCAATACTAAACAATATCCAGGTTTATAAGAGTACTGGTCGGATTCTAAATAAATGAGAAAGAAAACTAACCTGAAAACTGAGGGAGAAGAACTTGCAACACTAGGAGATCTTTGAACACTTTTCCTTGAAGGCTTACGCTCATCTGACGAGGTTCGACGTTTTTCAGGCTCCAGGTCCCCATACAGTAGAGAGATCTCAATCCTCTCACAAAGTACATCCTGAAAAGATTGTTGTTGATAAATGTTAAATGATGAAAAAGGTTATAATCTTATTTAAACTACATCCAATTAAAAATTGAAAATACAATTTAGTATAAAACTTACCTCAGGGAGATTACTCTCTAGTTCCAGGTTGAACTTAAGAGATACTCCGGGTACAGTCTTCTCATCAGTTCTCTCCTTTATCTAAGTAATTATAATATAAATCCTTCCATTTTAATATTATCTTTTAAACAGCCTTTAAATTAACATTTCCAGATACACGAAGATTTTACACTTAAAATTTAAGTTTATTAGATTTTAGATCAATGGATATATTTTTTGAAAATCAAAACAAACTTTGAAACTAGACTATAACTCTAAACCTGAGTGCATGAGTGGAAAAGTATAACTCTAAACCTGAGTGCATGAGTGGAAAAGTATGATGTCCTCAGCTGAAGTAATAATTTCTGTTTTTGGCAACTCCTCCAGTTTTTTATTCATCTCCCTAAAATAATAAATCACGGTAAGATTTGTTAAAGAAAAACTTGAAATAAAATATGATAGGTCTAATAATGTATCAAGGATATCTATAGATATATTTCCCTTGTCTGTCTCTGTTTGTTTGCATCCAATAAACGTCAAAAGGGTGAAATTGTTAAACAAATTTTACCTCAGATAAATGATTAAAAATAAAATTGGTGGATTACCAATAAAACAGAAAATCTGCAATCTATAACACTGTTGACTATATACGTTGGTTTATTTGTATCCCGTAAACGTCGAAACGACTGAACCAACTCACATGAACCCAAGGAAGATTCATTATTGGTCGGATTAAAAACCCCCCCATTTCCCCTTGTGCAGAGGGTATGCTGGAAAATAGTTTCCCAGAGAGGACCAAGTAGTTGGCCTAAAATCCAAACCCTGCAAAGATTGTATCACCCATTGTACCTAAAATACAGGTTTCTCTCTTCCTGTGTCGCTCCTCCACAGCTTGCAATCTGTACACAGGTTCTAGAACATAATTCAAGGGTTATACGAGAGTATGTTTTTTTCTTTAAAGTAAATAAATAAATATTGTTTTTGGAGATTAGTTCTTTTAATAATATAATTATGAAACAATATAAAGTTTTTGATACTCTGAATCTTAGAAGAAGTTAAAATGAGAAACATAAATTATTCTAACCTCAGATATTTCTCACCATCATCTAGAAGTTTATAACAGTTAACCAGATCCAGCAGAGTTCTCACACCCAACCTCTGCCATCCTTCAAACTAAAATCTTTATATCAGAAGAGTTCTTGCACTCAACCTCTGCCATCCTTCAAACTAAACTCTTTATATTAGAAGAGTTCTTACACCCAACCTCTGTCATCCTACAAGATTAACTCTTTATATTAGAAGAGTTCTTGCACTCAGCCTCTGCCATTCTTCAAACTAAACTCTTTATATTAGATGAGTTCTTGTACCCAGCCTCTGCCATCCTTCAAACTAAACTCTTTATATTAGAAGACTTCTTGTACCCAAACTCAGCCATCCTTCAAACTAAACTCTTTATATTAGAAGAGTTCTTGCACTCAGTCTCTGCCATTCTTCAAACTAAACTCTTAATATTAGAACAGTTCTTGCACTCAACCTCTGCCATTCTTCAAACTAAACTCTTTATATTAGAAGAGTTCTTGCACCCAACCTCTGCCATTCTTCAAACTAAAATCTTTATATTAGAAGAGTTCTTGCACTCAGTCTCTGCCATTCTTCAAACTAAATTCTTTATATTAGAAGAGTTCTTACACCCAACCTCTGCCATCCTTCAAACTAAACTCTTTATATTAGAAGAGTTCTTACACCCAACCTCTGCCATCCTTCAAACTAAACTCTTTATATTAGAAGAGTTCATACACCCAACCTCTGCCATCCTTCAAACTAAACTCTTTATATTAGAAGAGTTCTTGCACTCAACCTCTGCCATTCTTCAAACTAAACTCTTTATATTAGAAGAGTTCTTGCACTCAACCTCTGCCATTCTTCAAACTAAACTCTTTATATTGGAAGAATTCTTATACCCAACCTCTGCCAAAATACATACAGCCAAACAATTAAATAAAAGTCTCACATTGAAAACTATTTCTCAAACTAAACTTTTTAAACTTATGAAATTAAAGATAAAAATAACCTGGAATGTTTTAAGAGAATCTAAGAGAAATGCAGCAGCTTGTTGAACTTGTCCTGCTTCAAGGTAGAATTCAGCCAGCTCTCTACCTAAACATATTCCAGATATAGACTAGTATTCGGAGTAACAACCAGGATTAGACTAGTATCCGGAGTAAATACCAGGATTAGACTAGTATCTGGAAGTAAATACCAGGATTAGACTAGTATCTGGAGAAAATACCAGGATTATGCAAGTATCCGGAATAAAAACCAGGATTGACAAATTTCCGTTTTGAAATAGAACTTTCATGAGGACGACATTTATCAGCCTTTCCAGTTCCACTCTAGGTACAGGGATAATAATCATTTTATCATTCTAATCTTTTTTACCACGGAGAAATGACTGTTACGCATAGTAAATAACATATTTTCAAGTTATGAAAATAAATATTCTTATTAAGCTCAACTAAAAATAGAAGTTCAACTTTCGATGCTTCAACCCCAAGCCGCCCCACCAAAAAATGATAAATTTTTCAAAAATGTGTTGTTAAACAATTTACATGTTGAGAATTGATGTTTCTATGAAATATGCACCTCTGATTTTGAATACCTATAAATCGAGCGGATCGAATCCGTCCTATTGATTAGACTAGTATCCGGAGTAACGACCAGGATTGGACTAATATCCGGAGTAAAAACCAGGATTAGACTAGTATCCGGAGTTAATACCAGGATTAGACTAGTATTTGGAGTAATAACCAGGATTAGACTAGTATCCGGAGTAAAAACCTGGATTAGACTAGTATCCGGAGTAACAACCAGGATTAGACTAGTTTCCGGAGTAAAAATCAGGATTAGACTAGTATCCGGAGTTAATACCAGGATTAGACTAGTATTCGGAGTACCAACCAGGATTAGACTAGTATCCGGAGTAAATAACAGGATTAGACTAGTATCCGGAGTAAATAACAGGAATAGACTAGTATCCGGAGTATAAACTAGGATTAGACTAGTATCCGGAGTAAATACCAGGATTAGACTAGTATCCGGAGTAAATGCCAGGATTAGACTAGTATCTGGAAGTAAATACCAGGATTAGACTAGTTTCTGGAAGTAAATGCCAGGATTAGACTAGTTTCTGGAGTAAATAACAAGATTAGACTAGTATCCGGAGTAAATACCAGAATTAGACTAGTATCTGGAAGTAAATACCAGGACTAGACTGGTATCTGGAGTCAATACCAAGATTAGACTAGTATCCGGAGTAAATACCAGGATTAGACTAATATCCGGAGTAAATACCAGGATTAGACTAGTATCCGGAGTAAAAACCAGGATTAGACTAGTATCCGGAGTAAATACCAGGATTAGACTAGTATCAGGAGTAAATACCAGGATTAGACTAGTTTCTAGAAGTAATTACCAGGATTAGACTAGATTCTGGAAGTAAATACTAGGATTCTAGAAGTAAATACCAGGATTAGACTAGTTTCTAGAAGTAAATACCAGGATTAGACTAGTTTCTGGAAGTAAATTCCAGGATTAGACTAGTTTCTAGAAGTAAATACCAGGATTAGAAGTAAATACTAGGATTCTAGAAGTAAATACCAGGATTAGACTAGTTTCTAGAAGTAAATACCAGGATTAGACTAGTTTCTGGAAGTAAATTCCAGGATTAGACTAGTATTCGGAGTAAATACCAGAATTATGCTTGTATTCGGAATAAAAACCAGGATTGACAAAATTCCGTTTTGAAATAGAACTTTCATGAGGACGACATTTAACAGCCTTTCCAGTTCCACTTTAGGTACAGGAATAATAATCATTTTATCATTCTAAGCATTTTCACCACAGAAAATGACTGTTACTTATAGTAAATAACATATTTTCAAGTTATGAAAATAAATATTCTTAATAAGCTCAACTAAAAATGGAAGTTCAACTTTCGATGCATCAACCCCAAGACGCCCCACCAAAAAATGATAAAGGAGTTGAGTTTTTGCCACAAACTCTGATTTTCTAATCTCTATACCTTTTATCCAATGTCGTAGACCTTAGATATTTCAAACTATTAATACTTATAGATAAAACTTATAGATAAAATAATCTAAGTTTGAAATATCAAAAATTTGCACCATCAGATTGCAAATATAATGGGATCAGAAGATTCGAGTTTGTGGCAAAAACTCAATTCCTTTTCCAAAAATGTGCCGTTAAACAATTTACATGTTGAGAATTGATGTTTCTATGAAATATGCAACTCTGATCTTGAATACCTATAAATCGAGCGGATCGAATCCGTCCTATATGCTTATATGTCGAGATAGCCATCTCCGCCATCTCTAGATAGGTTTTCTCAAAACTAGATTGGGAGGAAAGGGCATCCTTTAATTTCTCAGCTGGGTTCTTAACAATAATCAATAAATAAACAGATAAATAATTTAAAATAAGTCTAGAGTTAAATGTCAGAACTTTAATCAATGAGAATCTCGGGATCAAGAAATGATCTTCATCTAATACAGATCTACCGAAATATTTAATCCATCTCCGATTTACCATGGTTGTCATACCCCGCAGGGATAACATTAATTAAAGGATCGAGCCATTATTCTCAAATTAAAAGTGCCCACATTGGATATCGAGCTTTAAGCATTCAAGATTAACGATACTTTACAAAAATTATCCGACCTCAGTGGCCGAATTTGAAGAATTTTAGCGGCGGTTTAAATTTAAGCCGTGGTTTAAATATGGTTGGTTCCACTTAAAATTGTATTAAATGTTTCAAGATTTAAGCCGGCGCTTAATTTAAACCGGGTTTTGGCGGATTTAAACCGCGGCTCAAATTCTTTAAATTCCATCTCAGGCCACTTAAATCTTAATCTAAGAAAAAAATTGAAATTGTAAATCTTAAAAGGTGTATAAAAAGTGGAACACCATAAATCACATAGACAGTCCCTTTAAGAATGATAACTTTATCGTGAAAATGTATATTTGATTGATCGATTGATTAAATTAACCATCAACTAATTGCTTATTTGATTTCCTTTTGATCTTTTTCAAGTTTAAGGTAGAGATCATCTCGAAGCCCACCGAACAAACTAACCTAAAAGTGCACAGTCCATAAACACAATCTAATATTTATAAACAGAAAAGTATATAAACTCTACAGGGTGTCTTTCAAAATATAGTTGTTGATGACAGAGCCTCAATTTTGAACAGATCTTTGTTGAACAAAAAAATATGGAACAAACAAAAATTTTGTATTATGTTAAATTTTTTGTTTTTTTTTCACCTTTGAGTAGTATAAATATTAAACATAATAAATAATTCTTGATATATACTATATACCACTAGATGGAGCTGGGGACTGGTTGGAGTTCTGCCCGGCATTAGACCGCATAATCTGCCGAGATGGAGAAGTTTCTCCCGTAGGAAGGAACACAGGGCAGCTGTATGGAGACTGCTTCCTTTACACACCCGGAGAACCTCCAGAGAACATAAACAAACCCAGATCTCGGTGGAACCCTCTATACACTCCATCTCAAGGATTTTTATCTCCTATAAAAAGATTTTTAAAAACATTTTTACTGTTTCGATAACATGTAGATCATAGAAATCGTAGTAAACAAAAGAGTTGTCCTTAAACATTGTTGAAAAATAACTAAAGTAAATACAAAAGTTCGGAAATATCTACAAAATCAACATGAATATTTTGAAGAATAATATTCAATTAGTTTCCAATGTATATATATATTATATATGAGAACCTGGAGAGTGTTGTATAGAAAGGATAAACATCTTCTGGCGAGCTCATCCTCATTCTTGAGTTGGATCAGTAGAAGAGCCTGCCTGGAGAACAGGTAGTTCCGTAGATCTAGCAGAGATAGCTCACCTCGTTCTATCTTACTCCGCAACCTGGAGAAGTAAGGAATTATACTTTCTCATGAGTAAGGATTGGACTGGAAGAAGAGCAAGAAAAGAGAAGCAAAACGAAAAAATAAATCAAAGGAAATATCACAAATATTTTGAAGAGATAAAATCGCAACACTTAATTCGCATTGTGTTAATTACGAACAATACCAATATTAATTGTGGTCAAGCCTCGATCCATTGAGGTCATACTTGAGATTCCTTCCATTTAAATTCAGATTAAAGGACTTGAGTTTTTGCTACAAACTCTGATTTTCTAATCATTATATATTTGAAACCAATGTGACAGACCATAGATATTTTAAACTTTGAATTCGGTTAGATCTAATAATCTAAGTTTGTAATAAAAAAAAAGGTTTACACTATCAAGGTTAAAATATATATAAGTTAGAAAACTTGAGTTTGTAGCAAATACTCAATTTCTTTGTTTACAGCTTAATGTTCTAATTAAAATTTAATGTTGTATATTGTCACAATGGTGATCAGATTATAACCTGTTGTTAATATTCTTCTCCAGAGTAAACCCTGTCCAGTCTCGTAGTGTAGAGTTGAACCCGGAAAGCCAGGACGGAGAAGCTCCGACACTACTGTTCAACACAAACTGAGTAAACAGAGCATCCAGCTCATCATATTGGATTAATGATTCGTCCTGAAACAAAATTTAGTTTAATTTATCAAAGTTTAGGAGTAAAAGAAGATATAAAATCAGAATGAAGGATAAGAAATGCAAATAAAAGAATTGGTATTCAAAGATGCAAAATAAATGTAAGGTGCGGAATTGAATAAAGAATGAAGTGTAGGGAATGAAGAGTAATGAGGAATGATAAATGTTGGAAGCTAATGAGAAAATTAATTTAAAAACGACAACAAAAATTTTTGTCAAAATTAAAGAACACGAATTGTCTATTAAAATTCTCCACAAATCATTTTCCCAAAAAGTTTTGAATTGTGCAATGACCCCATCCCACAAAAATATTAGTTTTTTACGCACAGCACTTATTTTTTACATAGTGTAACAAATTTTGAATGAGAGGGGGGTGGCCGGGGGGATGATTTTTCTAAAAAATACAAACCCTGGAACGAGAAACTTATAAATTGTAAAAATGAAGACCTGTAGACCCATGATCTCGTAAACGAATGCAAGTTGCTCCTGGAGAAGAAAGTAGTTGCAGAAACTCCAACCTGGTTCATTTCTCTTCTCACGCTCAGACCTGATCAGCTCCTGGATAAAAACTTATAAAAGTGTATTTACTTTATGTTATGGATCAGTCCTGAAAAAAGGGACTGTAAGCGTAATTTCAGATGACCCTACAAGCAAAGATGGCCACGGTACCCTTTAAAGATTTGTCTGATCAAGTATAGATTCGATATCAATCTTCATAATTTTAATTCGTTTCGTTATTTTTATTAATCCACAAGGCAGAATAATTGATCAATTAGCTACGATACTGTCAAAATTTGCTGACCACACGAAAGCAGGAAGAGAATCCCAAGTATTCATATACCATGGGAGGTTTTGCTCCAGGAGGAACTGTTCTTGAGTCTACAAACGAGGAGAAGGATATAGAGCTACAAGTCCCTTTAAAGTTGGAAAAAGCTGGATTCTTAAAATGGATGATCATTGGTTATTTTCTTACCTCGAATCTATTAAGTGTTCTGTTGTATGATTGGAGGAATAGAAGTCGGAGCTTATGAAGAAAATTTTGCATTGACTCAGCAGCCTAAATTAGACCCTTTAGTAAACAGGATTATAATCTCGAATTGAGTACTGGTAACATGGTCTGTTAATCAGTTAATCAGTTAATTAATCAGTCCAATCAATAAATCAGAATAGAAAGGGTCCACAAATCAGTTTACAGCAAAAATTCCGAAAATACATTTTGCTAAGAACCAATGTTACCCCCCAAAAAAGATTCTTAAATAAAAAATATCCGAAAGTGGGAAACCTATAGTTAGTAATTTCATTTTTCACTTTGATCCCTAAAGCTTTGAGAATACAACCTTTGAATCTGATTTGGTCGGATCAATGATTGAGAGACATCTATCGGTTGTTTTCCCGGCAATATCCTGCTTCAGTTTGTCCAGCACTGTGGTCCTGGTGAGCAGCTTGTTCGCCCTCCTGGAGTCCGGGGTCTCCACCACCACGATCAACCAGTCCGAGCTACTCCCAGCCTTCTTTAGAGTGCTCTGCCAGGATAATATCTCATCTTTCAAGGAACTCTAAACATCAGTTAAAATGGAAGATTTTCTGAGGTCCATATTTTTCTTGAAATTGGGTTTATTTTATCGCAGAATTATGACTTTTGGGGAAAATAAATGATTTTTCGGGAAAATTATTTTGGAGTAAAAATCTTGCAAGCTTGGGGCAAGAATTCTGTGAACAAAACCATGGTGATTTTAAAATCAAAGGAATTGAGTTTTTGCCACAAACTCTGAATTTATAATCCCTATTTCTTTGGAACCCAATATCGTAAATCTTTGATATTTCAAACTTATATTATTTGATCTAACAGAATTCATAGTTTGAAATATCTAAGGTCTACGACATTGGAATCCAAAGATATAGGGTTTAGAAAAGCAGAGTTTGTGGCAAAGACTCAATTCCTTTCCACCAAAGTTAGTATTAGTTTAACAAAAAACTTTATATTTGGCTTAAACGAAACTTAAATTAATAAAAAAAAATAATAACTTAAGATCTAAAATGAAACGCCCAGACCGCCAGACCAGCGCGAACTGCATAACAAATACGTCACTGAGTTCACATAGTGGAGTAATGATAAACTCCTTGTAAATGTTTATTGTTTACCTTGTAGGTCTCAATATCCGAGCAGTCCGTCCAGAAGGTATGCAATACCTGTTGTCCATTCAAGCTACGCTTAGCCTTAATATTAAATAATCAATAAATTAAAAAAAATTACAACAAATTCTTCTCTGGCTTTTTATGATTACTGTATAGCTTGTGCATCTCAATGTTGAAACTGACCTTAAGTAGAGCTTCGACGTCTATAGGATGAAACTCTGCCTCAACATAAACACTCTTGGAAGTTCTTCCATAGCTTCGCTTCCATTCAACAGCTTCAGTTGGTAGACTTGATACCAAACCTTATACATTTAATTTATTACACAAGACTTCTTTTCATTTACTTGCACCAAATCTTTCAAGATCATTTTGATTTTGGAAAGTAAATTTAGGATTATATACAGGAATCTTAATAACTTTGGCTCCCACTTAATTCAATTCTTTTCAATTCAAGAAGTCAGGGATTACAAGGACCTCATATTATGTATATAATTCATATTTTAAAATATCTTCAAAGAAATCCGTGTTATTTATGAGATAACCGTAGTATCAAGGAGTATCAAGTTAAACAATACATTTTATAAAAGCGGGGTTCATTAGATTTTCAGAAATCATTTGATATATGTTAGATTTTTGATGAAGCCCTTTGCTCATATATAATATGTTTGATGTAGCTGGCCTGGGGGTAAATTTTCAAATCTTTTTTCTTCTTAAAAATTTGATTTTTCCACCCAGGGTTCTTAAAATTACACCGGCAATGCCGGTATCTTCCGCTAGTTATTATATAAGTTTTTGTTTTAACTGATATAGCCAGTGGTTATTAAAAACCATGGTGGTTTGGGGTGGGGAGAGACGCTTAGAATATATTTATCATCTTTCCTTACCTGATTCCAACCTCTTGAATATTTTTCTATTCCCGGCATAGCTGATTACAGGTCTACCCTCCATATTGCATCTCTTATGAAAATATAAATATACAAAACAATGAATGTGAATATACAATGAATATTTGATGTAAAAATGAGCAAATTCTTGCATAAAATAAACTAAAACATGGTAAGTCCTTAGTTGTATTCTAGAGGAAGAACAAAAATATTAATGCTAACTACAAATGTTAATAATCTAGGTCTTTTATTCTCGGGGGTTTGGAAGTAAAAAATGCAACTAAGGGGAAAATTTAAGTGTTAGTAATTAAAAATTAAAAACTGAATTTCCTAATTTTCAGCCAGAACGAGGTATTTTTCTTTGAAGATACCAGTTCAGATCCTTGTGGGCGTTGATAATATCAGAGGAGGGTTTAAATCTAAATTAGAAGATTTTGACATTTACGCCTCTTACGGAACAATCACTATCTGATATGTTTTAAACCAGATTCAGTTTTTAATCTGGAATCCTTGCTTCTTCTGGAATCTTCAAACCTCTAGGAATTCATATTTTTCGTTTTAATATTTCTGAATCTTCCTCTAGAAATCTCCGAACCTCTAGATATTCTAATATCCCTAGTTTCTCTAGGACTCTATGAACCTCCTGATATTTTAGTATCCCATGTTTCTCTAGGAATCTCTGAATCTCTAAATATTCTAGTATCCCATATTTCTCTAGGAATCTCTGAACCTCCAGATATTTTAGTATCCCGTGTTTCTCTAGGAATCTTGGAATCTCTAAATATTCTAGTATCCCTGATTTCTCAAGGAATCTCTAAACCTCCAGATATTCTAGTATCCCTAGTTTCTCTAGAAATCTCTAAACCTCCAGATATTTTAGTATCCCTGGTTTCTGAAGGAATCTCCGAACCTCTAGATATTCTAATATCCCTGGTTTCTCTAGGAATCTCTAAACCTACAGATATTTTAGTATCCCATGTTTCCCTAGGAATCTCTGAACCTCTAATATTCTAGTATTCAAGGTTTCTCTGAACCTCCAGATATTAAAGTATCCCTGGTTACTTTAGGAACCGCTAAACCTCCAGATATTCTAGTATTCCTGGTTCCTCTAGGAATCTCTGAACCTCTAGATATTCGATTATCCCTGGTTTCTCTAGGAATCTCTAAACCTCTAGATATTCTAGTATCCCTGGTTTCTCTAGAAATCTCTAAACCTCCCGATATTTTAGTATCCCTGGTTTCTCTAGAAATCTCTAAACCTCCAGATATTCTAGTATCCCTGGTTACTTTAGGAACCTCTAAACCACCAGATATTCTAGTATTCCTGGTTCCTCTAGGAATCTCTGAACCTCTAGATATTCTAGTATCCCTGGTTTCCCTGGGAATCTCTAAACCTACAGATATTTTAGTATCCAAGGGTTCTCTAGGAATCTCTAAACCTCCAGATATTCTAGTATTCCTGGTTTCTCTAGGAATCTCTAAACCTCCAGATATTCTAGTATTCCTGGTTTCTCAAGGAATCTCTGAAACTGTAATTATATTCTAGTATCCAGGGTTTCTCTAAACCTCCATATATTCTAGTATCCCTGGTTACTTTAGGAACCTCTAAACCTCCAGATATTCTAGTATCCCTGGTTACTCTAGGAATCTCTAAACCTCCAGATATTCTAGTATCCCTGGTTTCTCTGGGAATCTCTGAACCTCTAGATATTCTAGTATCCCTGGTTTCTCTAGGAATCTCTATACCTCCAGATATTCGATATTCTAGTATCCCTGGTTTCTCTAGAAATCTCTAAACCTCTAGATAATCTAGTATTCAGGGTTTATCTAGGAATCTCCAGGGTTTCTAGTACAGCTTTTTTGCAAGTTCCAAACTATTTTGTATTCCAGAAAGAGAACAGGAGGAAAGAAATTCAAAGTCCCCTCATCTTGAAGGACTAGAACCGCTAGGTATTCTAGTATCCATGCTTCTCCAGGAATCTCCGAACCTCTCGGAGATCTTCTTCCCAAGCTCTATCGTCACGTTTCACAGTGAAGGTTTTATTAGCGTAGACACAAAGACAGTAATCCTAAAACATGATTCATTATCAATCATTATACATCTAATACACTAGTATATTTTAATTAATTTTATGGAAGGTATAACAATGAAAATAAATTCAAGATGGCCGCCTACCATATTCCAGGCCTGGAGAACTGCCTGACATCTAACCTCGTCTTCAGGAAATGTTTTGTAACTGCAAACCTTCCCAGTTCTGAACAGGATAATTAATTGAAGAATTTATCATTTATTATATTTATTATATATATTTTAGGATTAATATTATCTCGTGCTTGTTCAAATATTGATCCAAATAAATAATAAAATAATTAAACCTTCCAACACAGGGGCGTACGAAGGGGGAGGCCCCCATCTACGAGAGCCCCCCCCCCCTGAGAGGGGGGGACAACCATATACAAAATACTTTAAAATCTCCTTTTTTTTCAAATTATCTTTTGATGCAGATAGTAATTTGTCCTGGGGGGTGTGAGACATTTTTCATGAAGCAATAGGGTAAAACTAGCTCAAAAACGAAATCTTGGCATTTAAAAATAATTTTACTAAATGGCCCAGCCATTTTACTGTTTTTCCGGATATTTCGGGATTTTTTTTTAAGTATTCGCGGCTAAATTGGTTTAACTCTGTCAATTTTTAAGGGATTTTGGTGTGTGATACCATTTTGAAAATCATTTAACTTGGTAATGAGTTATGACGATATTTGACAATCTTTTTAAAGATTTTTGGTGGTCAAATATTTAGAAAAAGGTAAAAAATCACGTCTTTTTACACCTTTTGTCAGCTCCATCTGGAAGTGGTAAAGAGTATTTTTTTTTAAACTAAACATCATACTATTTGAAAATGTTTTGACAGTCTTGAAAAAAACATATGAAATTTTGTGCGGGCATTTTTGATTGTGGGGAAAATGCGGGAAAGCCACAAAACTCAACAAAAGGAGTTTTTTGATATTAGTGACTGTGCATGATATTCCACAAGGTATTTACTAGTGATAAAACTTTAGTCTGGATGGGATAATTATTGAAACTAAATCTGAAACTAGGTGTTGTTGCCATTTAGGAAAATTATTGTAAAATGCAAAAATTTCCTATTTAAGCTTGTGAAATCCCATAGTCATTCCCTGTGTACGCCTTGGATAGTAGGCAATACATTCAATACGTCAAGTGTTGCCTAAGCTTGAAGAACTGACTACTTCTCCGGTTCTAAACTTACCTGGAATAAATAAGTTCGTTGTTGTGTGAGTACCCTGAGGGTCTACACTCCAGGTATACTCCGGAGAAGATCTTTATTTGAAACTTGTGAAAATATCGGTCCCACACCTCGTCCTGGACCTGGATAATGGATACAAATACAAACAGTTTTTAATTTACTGTTCCATTATAGAAGAAATCCCTGAACTATGAAACTGCACCAAACGATTGAGTTATATTACGTTATACCGATTTAAAAATGTATACGCCCAATAAAATAAAAACACGTAAAAAACACAACCTCAAGGTAAATGAAGAAAGAAAAAATGTTATAAAAATTTAAAATTAACTCTTTTAGTCGTATCAGGAGTTCCACAGGGGAGTGTGTTAGGTCCCTTTATAATTTAAATCAATCATCTAGATGAGGCAGCAAGAAGAGAATTGATGACTAAGAAAATGGCAGATGACAGCAAAATTGCTAATAAAGCTGTTTCTCTGGAGGATAGAGAAGTAATGCAAGACTGCATTGACATCTTGGTTGAGTGGTCTGAAAAGCGGGGAATGGTTTTTAACTGAGAAATGTAAGATAATGCATTTTGGAAGTGGAAACCCTGAGTTTAATTATACCATGAGTGGCTGTACTCTGAGCAGTGTTGAGGAGGAGAGAGATATTGGAGTGTTGATCAACAAAGATTTAAAACCCAGTAGACAATGTGAAGTATCAGTTAATAGAGCTAAATGGTCCTAGGTCAGTTATCTAGATCTTTTCACTTTAGAGACAGTAATGTATTTCTCAAATTATTCACCACCTATGTCACCTGTAAAACCAACCATTTCTACAACTACTATTTTAGGTTAATCTGTAACCAATTCAGAAGACAGATAACCCGAAGATCTGAAATCTGAAACCAATTTTATCAACCCATTTTAGAGATATATAGTGTAATTAGTTTTATATAAATGTTTTGCTTGTAAATCTAATTAATAGTAAATATTTTAGTTTTTCACTGGATGAAGATGAATAAATTATAACCAACAAGTTGTTCATCTAATGTAGTGCATAAAGGGTGGCAGTCTTCTGACCAGTGCAAATAATGTTTATGCTATCACATTAGAGTATCTCAAAATTAGATAGCACATCATCTAGAGTTTTCTACTCCAGTCTGGGCTTCAACCTCACTACAGGATATTAGGTCTATAGAAAATGTCCAAATACAAGCTGTGAATATGATAAGTGGATTGAGATCAGTTGGATATACTGAAAAACTCAAAGAACTAGGACTTTTCTCCCTTGAAACAAGAAGAACTAGATATGATCTAATACAAACCTACAAAACCCTGGAAGTTGAAGGAGATAAACTCTGGTTTAAAAGAGTTAATCAAGTATATGTAAGAACCACCGGACAATCAGGTGACAGAACCTGGCTGACTAAACAGAGAACCAACACCACCATCAGATGTAATTTCTTTGTCCAAAGAGTCATTGATGATTGGAACCAGTTACCCCACCACAGTTAAAAAGTCCCAAAATATGAAGATATTTAAAAGAATTCTAAATGAATATCTATCTTCTTTTGAGATGAACTGATCCTGAGAGAATGATAAGATTTTTAGAAGAAGACTGTGGGGAGAAGATATTGCTAAATGACCCTAGCGGAGCTATACCAACTACTCTACAAGTATACAAGTAAGTAACTCAGTACCAAAAAACGACATAAATTATAAAAAAAGGCAAATGAAATTAAGCCTACTCTCTCTTATATAAAATGATTCAAATATACAAAAAATAAACAAAAAATTAACAAAATGAAAAAATCCCGTCCTTTTAATCCAACCCTCTTGCTTGTTATTATTATCAAGAGATAGGAAAAATAAAAATAATCATCACTCCTCAAAAAGAAACTGTAAACTTAATTACATGATGATTGATAAATAATCGATGTAAATATACTTCTTACCTTATAAACTAGAGTTCCACCCATCCTGGAGGTAAGCAGTCGATCATGATGATTGTAATCCTATTCAGGACAATCACAAGTTTATCAATGATCATACAATGATAAAAATCAATAAATTAGAATGTGTACCACACGATGATCAAAAGCTAAACAATCAATAAAATAAAGCTCTTCGCTCAGATATATATGTTCGCTATAGATGGTGAAACGGCTGGATCAAATTGACTGACATCTTTTAAGGGAGCCAATTTTGTTTTTGATTCCACGGGCAACGCTGAGCACTTCAGCTAAAATCATAATTAAACAGGAAGCGCGGGTGAACAGTGAGAGACTATGAATAATAATATAAACCTTGGCAACACCGGGTGCTCCAAAAAGTTTTGAATAAGAAAAGTTTAAACTGTAGTTTTCATGGAAAGAGATTTAATAAAAAACTTTAAATGGGGAAATATAATTATCTCGTGCTTGTTCAAATATTGATCCAAATAAATAATAAAATAATTAAACCTTCCAACACAGGGGCGTACGAAGGGGGAGGCCCCCATCTAAGAGAGCCCCCCCCCCCTGAGAGGGGGGGACAACCATATACAAAATACTTTAAAATCTCCCTTAACTAAATCAGTTTCATTAAAAAAGCTTTAATCAATACTGTCTTCAGTGTAAATATATCTTTGATATCATTATTTATAATTATACAAAATGTATCGTTTCTATGAAAATATAGATTTTTTTAAGAAACGTTTCCATCTCTATTTTTCACCCATTGAAGCTTATACCACAGTATTAAGAAGAAGTGTCGAATGAGTTCACTTAAGAAAATTACATAAATAATTCATTAACACTTGTTATATGAAATGTGTATATGATCGAATAGTTTACATAGTTAAAGTTATCAATTTTTTTTCAAAATAGGGGTTTTTAAAGGGGGGGGGGGTCACAGTGTTGCCAAGGGGGTGCACAAAAATGCTCTCGTACTCCCCTGTTCCAACATTTTTAATTTCAAATGAAGAAAACGACAAAATAATCAAACCAATTAAATATAATATAATACTAAGAAATACCATAAAAACGCGTAATTTTAAAGAAAGATAAAAACATAGGGCCCTGGAGTAATGTACATAAAAATTACGGTAAACACTCGACGTTACAAGGTAAGCTAAAAACATAAAACTGTACATATCTAAGATACAAGTTCTAAAAGAAATAATTTTGAAAATAATTTCTAATCTTGTTTTGTTTCCTTTAGTTCGATGAAGAATTGTTCTAGTTCTGCCTCCTCTGCTAAATGTGCTAACTACAGGAGTTTAAATCAAAATTGAGATTATTGATAAGAAAAATGTTAAATCAGAGCTGGGTACTTTTGATTTCTGGATATCGAGATTAATGCTTGATCCACTCTTTTTCTTTATCTCGAGATTTAATAATGCTTGTTCTCCTCTTATTATTAATCTCCAGATTAATTAACTGATCGGGATTGAGGATATCCCATTCAAAAGTTTTCAGCTCAGAATTAACAATCAACAAATAAGATTAATATTGAGATAAAACCCTTCCTTAGGATCCAGGCCAGGAATTGAAAACTGTTTTGAGAAAATTCGTTTCTTTAGTTTGTTTATTTTCAACTCATGCAGAACATCCTGGAAATAATAAATTTTAATGTTAAAACGTAATTTAATAACAAATATTTTAATGATCTTCCAATTTTAGAATGAGAAGCATTATTATTTTTATTATTATTAGTGGTATTATTATCATCATTCAGCTAGAGTCAATGCCCTGTAGGCTATGTTTATTTTTTAACCTTCTTAGAATGATAAGTAAGAGTAGTTTTTTTCGAAAATACAAAATTAGATTTTTATAATAATTTCAAATTAAACTCAAAATTGTTCTCACCTGTTCCTTCGGGAACTTGCATCTCCTGAGGCAGCAGGGTAGGTTATATTCGGTAAAAAATGTTGGATTTCCAGTTTCTATAGTAGTGAGTGTGTTCACCCCGTCCCCATAGATTGCAGTGGTTTCAGATATCTTTGTAATATTTAGAAATGCGAGCTCGGCTGCCGAACCCTTGGGTAAGTTTTGTGCTCTTTCCTTTCCCGGAGCTGAGGAGGTAAACTTACGGGCGGAGGTATTTACTTCCGTCGTCTTAACTCCGGGTTCTGTCTTAGAATTAGGAGTAGGGTCAGGTTTAGTATCTGGTATATTATCAGATTTAGGTTCGGGTAGTTTAATATCAATGTGTCCGATCTCATCGGCTTTATCTAGCTTGTTGAGAGATGAGTCTGTGCTATCCTCCTCCGGATCCTCAAAAGCGTTCTCCATAGTTAATTTGGCTTTGTTCTCGTCCTCGTCGCTACTATCATCGAGTCGGACTGCTGGATTCTTCTGGTAGGACAGAGGCAGCTTTAATTCTTTCTTCAGTCTTTTAGTCACCTTTTTCTTTATTTTCAGTTTCATTTTCACTTTTGGAGCCTCAGGAGGCAACGGGGCATCTTCCATGGGTATCGGAGGTTCCTCTGGCTTAATAAACACGCTTGCCTCCGGTAAAGGAGGCGGAGCATTTAACCGGCGTTCTTCCGCCACCCATTCTTCTGGTTTCTTCCATTGGTTTGTCTTAGTCTTTTTATTGTAGTAATAAACCTTCCCTGTCTTGGATACAACTTCCATCCAGTCTCCGAAGGATTTTAAAAATGTTTTTAATCCTGTCAGAGTTTGAACTTGCTTCGGAATAATTGGTTCTTCGTTAATTGTTCGTTGAGAGATTTGGGTGGAAGGTGTCGTATCTCCTTTGCCAGAACGCATTCTTTTGATCTCTTCAAGCTTCTCCTTAAAGGTTTGCTCCTCCTTGTTATTCTGTCTGGGCGGAGAGGGTTTTCTAGGAGGAGGAGCAGGACGTTTAGCTCCTGAGGCCAACATTATGATCTGAAAGGAGAATGTGCATTCGGGATAAATATAAGTTAATCTGTCCATATTTTGGGTATGTCATAAAAAACGCTTTTAGGGGTACCTGGTCATCCGACCTGGAGGAAATTGACCTAAGTTTTTTCAGACCTAAATTTGCATTTTGTCTTAAAATGAATGTTAAAGGCTGGTTCAAGAGAGCCTCTGATACACATTGAATTTATAAGGCTTAAAAACACCTAATAGGGGATGGTGATAAAATGGCATTAGGCGCAAAGGCCTTTTTCGGCAGCCATAGCCGAAAAAAGGGGTAAATTTTACACTTTGTGACACCGAATTTTGTACAGGCTGCATTTGGTCTTAAAAATTGTGATAGAAGGCTGAAATTTTGCATGCATCTTAATGTGATCAACAATACGAATCAAGAACACTCTTTGGGGTCGGAGGTTAACGACCTCTAATATGGCTTCCATAAACATGGGAAACTACCAATTGGTTCACACCAACTCATTCATTTCAGGATGCTTGCTTTAATACTTTAAGCAAGCACATAAAACATGTGCCAACATAAACACGGATATCCAACCTCCGGTTTAACCTCTTCTCCATTATGCTCTTGAATATGATTAAGTATAATGTCAGGTTTAGTGTTTGATTTGATTTCATTTGAAGAATCCTATTTTGTAAAAGAATGTTATTACACCCTAGCATTAGTTGACCTCCAACTATTCATGACCTCCTCTGAAGATCAAAAAATTAGTTACTGAAAAAGTTAGGTATCAAATCATATTTTAACTGACGTTCTGATTCCATTCAAACGCACCCTTTTAACGTGAAATGATTATTAAGGTCGTTGAATATGTGAAAGATTTCATATTATGATTTGAACATATTATTGGTGGCCGTGTAAGTTTGCCGTATGCAGAAATATGCCAAAATCTTGCGACTCTTCCTTGAAAGTTCTTGATACTCAGTATTTAATTAAATCAAATCTTTCTGGTAGTATCTTTTCTGGTCGAACGATTTTGAGCAACTTTATTTTGAAAAATCCAATTCCTAATTACTAATCCTCCGGAAAAAAGGCTTTTCAGAGATATCCTACTTAACTATGTGGTCGATGTGGACGCGCAGAGGAGCCCCATCAAGATCACCGCAGTGGAGAAGAGAGCCACCGAAAATCAAAATATCAAGAACTTCATCATCTATTTTTTACATATATCCTGATTTTTTTATCCTTTGTAAACTTATTTTTCGTCGATTTTGACGATGAACGAACTTGAAATCTCAGAATGCCTGGCCTGTTTTCAAAGGATATGGTAAGTAGCTGGACAAAAACTGAAAAATTAAGTCTATAAGTAGAAAAATGACAACTTACAGCGTATACCGACTTTTGTGTGTGAATAGATTAAAATGTTCAGAAGAATTCGTCGATTTTGAAAGTTGAAATCTCAAAATGCCGGGCCTGTATTCAAAGGATACGGTAAGTATATAACACCATTAAATCAACCACCTGATAAGCTTTATACGTTAGGGCTCAATCTTAAGACAATCTCCCCACCGCCATAAAAGAAATGTACATGAAATATTTTGTATTGCTTCTGAGGGTTAAATTGCTGAATTTCTGGGCCTAGCGCCGCGGGTAGGGGGCCGGGTGCTAAGGCCACATGTCCTACTTTGACCATAGAAATTTTTTTATGAAGGGGGGGTGTCCAAAAATCCTTCTCTAGGAAATTACCTACTTTAGTTCAATATAACATGTTTTCTTTAAACGTTTTAATCATCCAAAATTGATCAGAAGAGAACAGATAACGCTAAATCACTAATTACGATTAGACCAATTTTATTAAGAAATATAACTCTAAAAAACTGCAGGTAACAGGGAAATCTTTAAATCAATTTTCATTAATTACTTGACTTGACAGAAGCTCAGAACCTTCCTCCTTAAAATTTTCAGATTTATGTTATTATTACAGGCCGCGGCATTGTACAAATGCTGATAAGGGCAAATGTAGTTTACAAAAAAAATTTAAAAAAAAACTATCTGGATTTTAAAAAGAACTCTATTATTACATTGTGAAACATTTTTTATTTAAAATTTTAAATATGCATGACAAATATTTCCCTGTTAGGGAAGCGTAAATTTATCAGCTGATTTTAAAGTTTTGTAAATTTGTCAACATAAGTCACAAATCCACTATGTGAATTGGGCCTCTTTGAAATAAAAATAAAAATGAATAGACAATTGTTTCCCTCATTTGCATTATTAACTTGGGTCCGTCCTAGAGAACGATTTAAGGATAAGCATAAACGTGTTTAAAGCTCATTTCTCTTACAGACATAATCATGATTAGAGCTCCTCTCTTCTATTTTTCTTTAATTGTTTTCCTTGTTTTTTTTTGTTTTTTAAATTTTGTTTCTTTTAGATAAAAAGTCAAAAACCACTAATACATTTTTTCATTTTTGTTTTATTTTACGATGAAACGTCTAAATTTGGGCCAAATTCTAATTCTAATTAGGCCACATATTTTCATCATTTATCAAGGAATCTCGTTTGTTTGTTTGCTAAAAAGTATCATTTCACAATTCTTGGAGAGTGCTACGAAAAGTAGCTCAATACATATAATAAATTATTGTTTTATTTTTGTTGTTATATAAATTTGATAAGAAAAAGATTTTTGGACCCCCTATCCCCGGGCCCTCCCCCTCCTATCAATGTTGTACATGACTTATTTTTCATTTTTCAGCAAAAGTATTATTTTTTTATTATTTTAGGTTAGGTTAAGACAATTTCTTGGCCGAGCGCTGCGTCTAGGACAGGCCCAGCGCCGCGGCTAGGACAGGCTAGGGGGCCCAGTGCCGCGGCTAAGACAGGCTAGGGGGCCCAGCGCCGCGGTTAGGACAGGCTAGGGGGCCGGGCGCTGCGTCCAAATGATCAATTATATCCATTTGTTATCCATGTACAGAATTTAAAGAAGGGGGGGGGGTCCAAAAATCGTTCTCTAGGAAGTTACCATTATCTTTTCAATATGAAATATAACAACCATTACTTTAATAATTATTTTAGTTAAATGTTAAAATAAAAGCATATATTTTGTGATTATGATGTTTAGAATTTATTTATTTAATTACAACATCCCATCCTCCTCCTCCGATCCCAATAACTCTTATCTACGCTCATAGAAATAAGTCATAATTCAATATAACTCTCACTAACATAGTTTAAAACTACTTAGCTCAAACTTCCCACAAATATGATTTTATACTAATCAATTTGTGATGAAACGCCCGTTTAGTTTGATTTAATGCTTTTTGATTTTGTTTGTCACTGATACATGAATTAGTCTTGTTTGATTGTACGCAATATATGTGCATTTTCTGCATTTTTATTTTAACACCTCAAGGACCTGAAGCCTAGATCCACTCGATTGCAATTTTCCTCTATGTAAGCTATTGATGATTGGTCAATTTTGTGCAGATGTCTTTTGCTGAATTTATTTCCTGTTGCTTACTGCCGACTTCCTAAAAATTAAAACACTTAAAAACACTTAAAAACACTTTTGCTTATTCATCATACATCAAAACACGTATGATTTTTCTGAAAAAAATAAATAATTAACTTTATGCAAAACCCTGTAATTTTACTCCTGTTTTACTACTCGTTGTATCGCCTAGACCCAATAAAGATTTATATAATAATAATAATTCAACATAACAATATTTTATTCCAGAAATTAAAAGAAATTCTTTGTCTATTGTTGCTCCTGTAAGGCTACGCATTTTTTGATAACAAGCTATGAAAAAATTCAAATGTCCATTTTTATCAAACCTGCAATGACAGTAAATTTCTTTTTTTTCTGTATAGATAAATAATTTTGCAGAGATAGATAAATAATTTTGCAAAGTTATTTTGTTTTTTAAACTACTGGAGAAAATTCGTGTTTTAAAAAAGAAACAATGATTGAAATTTCAAATTTGAGTTAAAATCATGTATTTGAACGATTGCTTGATCTAAAAACAATGAACATTTCTTGAAGAATATTTTTTAATACCTCCAACACAAAATCTTGATATATTCGGTTAAAAAAGAGTTTTTTTTTATACGGAATTTTTAGAACATTTTTTATATTTCAGAAATCTTGAAGATGGACATTTCAAACTAAATTTTATATATTTTTTATAAAAATATAAAGTTTGGTTGAAGATGGTTGAAGGTGATCTAGCAGAAGGTGCTAAATATTCCCGGATTACGGGACTTATTTACATATTCAACCTGATTGTTGGAACCGGAGCACTCACCCTCCCGGCAGCATTCCATGATGCTGGTTGGGCACTTTCATCAGCTGTACTTATACTCCTCGCGTTCATGTCGTTCCTTACTGCAACCTTCGTTATTGAAACCATGGCCTCGGCGAATGCTCTAGGAAGGTGGAGACGGCTGCAGAGGTTGAAGAGGCCAGGGGGGAGGACAGGATCCAACTCAGAGAACCAATATGTGGATAAAAATATACAGGTAAGCATTTATAATTATTTGTAAAAAAATATTTTAAAAATTATTCTTGATCTTAGTGAGCATCTTGTTTTTATATCGACATAAAAAAATAATTTCATGAAAAAAATTGTAAAACAACGTTTAAAAATACAAGACGCTCCTGGTAAACGTAGTTTGAATAATAATAAATGTTTTATTTCATAGAAAATGTGTATGTATGCATACTATTTAAATAATATATGAAATAATTTATAATATTTTAACCCTTTTAATTTAATAATGCGTATATTAGGTTGAGGTTCTAGCTTCGGACAGGGTCGTCAGCTCACCCCTTCATAGAGGACCTGTTGTAATTTCTCCTTCTCCAATATCTTCAAGTCCCCAAGGGTACCCGGAGCAGGAGGAGATGGATGAAAACCATCCTCTTATAGAGAACGTGGAACAGGTTCTTCCAACAACTTCAAACTATTATGATATAACCGAGATAACGGAAATGGGTAAAATGTCCTCCATGTTCTTTAACAAAACCGGAAGTACCCTATTCTACGCGTGTATAGCTATCTATCTGTACGGAGATTTGGCCATATACGGAGCTGCTGTTTCTAAATCCGTTCGAGACGTTGCTTGCTCATACAAACCAGGAAACACAAGTTCTCCGCTCAATATCTCCGAGAATGAGAAATGTTGGGAGTGGAAGGAAACGAGTAGGTTGGACGTTTACAGGATAATCCTCGCCGTGTTTACCTGTACAATAGGACAGTTTGTCTTCTGTAATGTGAGCAAGACAAAGTATCTACAGATTGCAACTTCAATCATGAGGTCAGTCGGATATATTTTAGTAAACATTTTATTAGATATTCTTTAGCAGAGAAACTTATCACAAGTATTTTCTATAAAATTCATATTTCAAGAATTAACGCACCTGAACGTCCTTTTTTATTGCGATGTGGTTTTATCATGTAGAATAAAAGCAATTTCTAATCTCTTGTTTTCAGATGGTTGGCGTTTATAGTAATGGTTGTGCTGGCATGTATGAACCTAACTAAGGAAGGATCTGACCGTCCTACTCCCCAACCTTCAATAATATCCGGAGTACCGAACCTGTTCGGAGTTTGTGTTTACAGTTTCATGTGTCATCACAGTCTTCCATCCTTGATTACTCCGATATCTCAGAAGCAGAACTTGTTCCGTCTCCTACTCGGAGACTATCTTCTTATTCTCTGTTTCTACTTCCTTCTTGCCTTCACCGGGGTCTTTGCATTCAGGGAGATCAATGATCTCTACACACTCAACTTCCAGGTAACATAAATCAAACATTTAATACAAATTAATAATTTTTTTATTCTATTTTACTTATGTTTGTCAATTTGTAAACGTCTAATTCATCCTTTTTCCAGTTTCTGTCTTTGATTTCCATTTGAATTTTTTTTTCAGCCTTCGATGTCGGATAACTGGTTCATGTTCGCGCTTCATTTCTTTCTTTCTCTGTTCCCCGTTTTTACGCTGTCCACCAACTTCCCCATCATCGCTCTTACGCTCTCGAACAACCTGAAGTCCTTGTTCCTCTCCGAACATAGATCCCACAATTGGTTCACCAGAACAGTTCTCTTCCCCCTACTAGCTCTGATACCTCCAACGTGTGTAGCGATGACGACGAACTCCCTGGAGTTCCTGGTTGGTATTACAGGCAGCTATGCTGGTGCAGGGATTCAGTATATTGTTCCAGCTGCCCTCGTCTACTATGCACGCAAGGTACGTAGTTTTTTTCTAATTCTAAAACTTATTCGCGAAGTTTTCTGACTAGAAAAGTTTTCACGGATTTTTATTGTAAACTTAAATCTTGGTTGGATTTATTATTTTTAATCTTTATAATGCTATAAATTATTTTAAGTGGACCAGTATCTATCTTACTGATAAGAAAACTAGAAATATTGAAATATATGTAATAACTAAAAAGGTGGTGTTCATCTTGTCTGTCAAGGTTCCACCATCCACAATTTATATAAAATTAAATAAAGCTGTTTGTTTACTCCAGGAGTCGAGAAGAGCACTGGGAGTAGGAGTGAAGAACAATCATATGTCTCCGTTCAAGTCTGTGTACTGGGTTCTGTTTGTCCAACTCTGGGCTGCAACTTGTATAATATTTGTTACTTGGAACCATATTTCCGACCTGTAAGTTGCAAACATAACATGTTCGATTCTTACCAAAAATTTAGGAAAATTCAAATTTTGAATTTGAATTTGTTTGATCTTGCCTTTATGATAACTCTCTTTAAATCCAATAAGCTTATAATTCAGTAGAGAGCTTAAACCAAGTCTGACGTCATGATCGGCGTGCCATAGAGTTTTATGAAATGACGTCACACCTATCAGTTTCGTCATTGAGACCTTAAACATTTCTCTATAGTAAAGTTCAGGGCCCAGTTTATGAAATGACGTCACATCTATCAGCGTCATGGAGACCTTAAACATTTCTCTATAGTAAAGTTCAGGGCCCAGTTTATGAAATGACGTCACATCTATCAGCTTCGTCATGGAGACCTTAAACATTTCTCTATAGTAAAGTTCAGGGCCCAGTTTATGCTGCCATGAGTTATTCCTGGGACCACGGGCCAGCTTAAAACGAAAAAATTGTTATGTTTGCAGACCAAATGTTCTTGTTATTCAGGCGTGAACGGATATCTCTTTTTTTACAATCATGAAAGGTTAAAGGGAAGGTTATTAAAAAAGTGGGTGTAGGATGAACCATGATTATACTTTGCTACTGGTTTTCTAATTTATCCAATGTTTCTTTAAAGAGAATTTGATGTAAAACGTTCTCCACAGATCGGATAAATATAATAGTAGAACTGGAACTGCCGTGTACCGCCTGCTGTGCAGCACAGACGAAGATATTCTAGTCTGTAAAGAACATTTATTACAATATTTTTACACCCCTTTTTTAACACTCAGTTTAGCTCTTGAAAACTGTATATGCTCTTAATCACAATGGAGATGTTTCGGTTCTCAAATATTGTCTTTTGTATCATGACAAAAAACTTTTATGTCATTCAAATTCATTCACGGGTTTATTCTGACAAAATTGAATATTTAAAAACTTCACTTTACAACGTTTACTTTTGGTCTTGAGTCTAAACCCCATACTATTAGGCTTTAATTAGTACGAAACCTTTTCAATATTTGAACGCACAAACTGTAAAAATTCAAGATTATTATATATCTAATATAGTTTTATTTTGATGTGGTTCTGGATCCTGGATTTGCCCTGGAAAAAATGGTCCCGAACCCCGGCCTTGAACATTTCTTCAAGATTAACAGATTGTTTAACAAATGAAAATTTTTCTTATTTTTTCGCATATTGGTGAAACTTAAAGAACCGTTCAGAGATAAGAAAGTTTTTATTAAATATATTTGCGGATCCGGATTTAGGAAGGCACAATGTTGCGGATTCAGATCCTAAGTACTCCCCCAAAGTCATAGCTTTTCCATTGGAGTTTAAAATGTGATGTCTTTCAATAAGTTTGCCTTTATTTTGACATTTTATTTGCATCTTAAATATTCCATTTAAATGATTCCATCTGTTAGATAATCGCATAATCTTTGCTTTGCTGTTTTTTTTTAGTACTAACTTCCCACACTCCAAAGTGATGTTGAAATGTGCTACAGTAAAAAACATTTTTGTATAAAGTGCCTTCTCTTTTTTTTCTCCCCCCCCCCCCCCCACACCTTAATTAAGACTACAGCAAAAGTTGTTTTGGATTTTTTTGGAAACGAAACCTATTCAAAACAAACAATAATTATCAGTTTTAAAATAACAAAATGCCATATTTTTTGTTTATTCGTCATTTTTTAGTTTTAACTTTCCAACTGCCCCCCCCCCATGAATTTTTGTGAAATCTATATACTTTGTCAGATGCTGTGTAGTAAATATTTAAACTTTTTTTTAAAAGTGCTTTTAGATTGAATGATTTGCATATATGTAGTGGAACTAAATACATACAAGCAGTATAAATTTGTAAAATTTTTGGAGGTTCTTCGTAAGAAAAAACTTTTTTCCTGGCAAGTTTCTCTTGGACATAATACAAGTAAAATTATATAATAGTTTGTAATTGTAATTATTCTTAATAATATTTTGAAAAAATATTTTTTAAAAGAATTATTTGAAAAATCTAGCTTTAAATTCATGACTGATCATTGGTTTTAAACAAATTTGAAACCTCAAATAATGATTAATACATTTTAATTTTAATTTAAATAAAACTGTTTCGTTTTAACCGTTTCAGATAACTTGTTATTTTACAGAATTAGTCTAAATATGCCTTGTTTATTATTTATTTTTTGTATTTTTCTACAGTAATAATATTTTCAGAAAAATATGTTAAATGTTGGACAGATCTCAGTTCTTAGTTTATTCTTCAAACCAGGTGGAAAATCAGTGTTTAAAAAGGGTTTTATACTAACGAAATTGAAAAACCATTTTATAAATTGTTATAAAAAAGTCTTTTCTTGAATGCATCTTAATTAATATCTTGTATACTCACGAATATACAGTAAATCATAAATTCACATTAAGAAAAAAATTGGGGTTTTTTTCAGTCTTGCAAATTAAATATTTAAAACTTTTAGTTTGAGGCGGTCAATTTTTTTTCGTGGGTCAATATTTGGTCTGTTACTTATATAAAATGCAGGAAATCCGCAAAATGAATTTTTTGCGGAAAGGCGTTAACTATTTTTAATATAGGAGACAGTCACGAAGCCGGTGATATGGAGACTGAACCTGGGATAGGCTGGATTGAATCCTTGCTGATTTACGCAGCAAGAGAACCCTTCTCCTTCCTCTACTACGTGCTCCTCATGCTCTCCCCATTGTTCTGCTTGAGCGCGTATCTCTCCTGGAAGCTCAGTCAGCAAATTGAAAAGAAGGAGCAGAAGAGAAGAAAGAAAATAAAGAAATCAGATTGAAAGTTTGAAATCATTTCTTAGAGCTTTTTCTAAACCTTTTGATATTAAATTTGTGATTCTTTTTTGTTCCTCTGTATCAGCAAAGTTTAATGTTTCCACCAAGGTTTGTAAAAGTAAGGAGTCGGTAGAAAATGGCGTTTTTCTGGTTGTTTGTTTACATGTTAACACGTTGCAGTACAACTTTTATCAGTACTGCGTTGTGTTGTAAGCAAACTGACTACAATGAATCCATCTTTAAGGAACTGTAAACGTAATTTCAAGTGACCCTCCATGCAAAGAAGGCGATTCTCTATTTACTTTGTCTGATCAAGTCTGAAATAGATATTCATGTAAAAACGACGTTATCTTCACATGTTTGATCATATTAAGGTTTCAAGGATACCGTTAGAAATCGGAAAATGCCACCTTTTCATGGAGGGTTTACTTAAAATTACGGTTACAGTCCCTTTAATCACGTTTTGTAAATAAAATTACTTACTTACCCTCTCTTAACTTTATACTTTCAAATACTAGCTTTTTGTATTATTTATGTGAAGTACCTTAATCATAGCTTCATTTAGTTTCCAGTTAGGATTTCCCAGCCAACGTTAGGGAAATATATGTATTTAAAAAATAATGATGTGATATTTTACAATTTTATATTAAATTCTAGTTCATTCTTTTCAATATTTATTTTAGTTTAGCAAATGGTGAAATGATTTTTACAGCGATTTAGATTTGCTTCATTTTATTTCAAGAAATACTTTGAAAACTTTTAAACAAATAATAGATTTATATGAAAATAAGTGTGAATACTATTTCTTTTATGATGTTTACAACTATAGTTTGTTTTTATAAATGTAAGATGCACCATTCTCTTTTTAAGGGTTTGTAGTCCCAACTCATGAAAGAAAAAAGTAAGAAAATGTGCAATATTTTCTGGAATACATCTTTATATATCTTTTTTATTCACAAATAGACAAACAAAAACTAATTTAAAGAAAAAATCGCTTCTCTTTTTATTGAAAAGATTTAATACAAACGGTTTAACCCCTATAATTTGAATTGGTATCTCAATTATTGTTACTGTTACACTATCTTGAAGATGTAATATGAATCCTTCTAATTGTTCATTTCCTGGCTTAATAAACAATCTAGGGAAACTTGAAGAGGATGCAATACAATTTACTCCACGGAAATTGTAATTGCAACAAATAAATTATAAAATTTAAATGGTAAAAGCAATTACCCCTCGATGAGATGCAATTAACTCTATTGAAATAAATGCAATACCATTGAAAACTACAAAAAAATACAATTATGAAAGATCCAAAGCGTACAAATTAAAACACTACTATTACGACTGATATAGAATTATAATGTCAACTACATATTTCAGAAAACAGTAGATTCTGGTGTGAAGTTATAAAAACTTTTCATTGAAGGATTTTAACAGATAAAATAATGCTTTTACAACTGATGAGAGAATGTAATTACAACTGATGAGAGAATGCAGTTACAACTGATGAGAGGATGCAGTTACAACTGATGAGAGGATGCAATTACAACTGATGAAAGGACGCAATTACAACTGATGAGAGGATGCAATTACAACTGATGAAAGGATGTAATTACAACTGATAAGAGGATGCAGTTACAACTGAATAAAGGATTTAGTTACAACTGATGAAAGGGTGTAATTACAACTGATGAAAGGATGCAATTACAACTGATGAAAGGATGCAATTACTATTGATGAAAGGATGCAATTACAACTGATGAAAGGATGCAATTACAACTGATGAAAGGATGCAATTACTATTGATGACTGGTCTCTCTGTTTATTTGACTGCTTGTAACCAATAAAAGGCTTACCCGCTCCGGTCCATTTTTTGGTGGCAACTATGCACATGATCTCGGCCCAGGGAAGGAGGATGACTGGTCTCTCTTGAACAATTTTCCCAGAAAAAAATTTCACCATCTACGAGGCTTGAAAATGCACTAATTTAAACGAAAAAATCAGTGAACATCTTTGCTTATTGGAGTATCACGGAAAAATGGATACTTGAAAACAAGGTTCTATAATAAGGTTGCTTACTCTCGATGCGCTCCAATGTACGGAAAATGTTGTCTCCTAAGCATAAATAGATAAAATCCTCATATGACGTCACTGATTATAGAGGTGAGAGTGACGTCATATACGAATTCTATCTATCTATGCCAAGGAAACGACATTTACCGTACATTGGAGCGCATCGAGAGTAAGCATATTATGCAACCTTTATTCATGTCACAATTTTTGCTTGAAAATCAAAAGTGAAAATATAAAATTGTTACTATAAAAGGGACGCGGAGCTCCCTAAAAAAAATGTCAAATTTAATTAATAGAACTTTCATTGCGACCACGAAAGAAAAAAGACGGAAGAAATTGTTAATAAACACATTTATATTGAAATAAATTCTGGTTCTGTCTATACCCCCTTTTTATATTTCGTGATCACACTTTGTGAGTAGTGTATTGGATCGACAGCTGGCCCACTTAAAAAAACTATGGTAAAGAAAAACAGCCCTAAATGTTAGCGTGTGAAAACTTTAAGAAAACAAAATATTGAGGAGATAATATTATTCTATTTAGCTTTTGTATTTCTAACTTCTATTTCATCCATTAAGAAGATAATACAAGAAACAAAGGTTTATTGTATTTGGTTAGACACAATATATAACACATTCTATCAGGGGTATTCATTCTCCTTAGACACAATACAACATACTTTACCAGGGGTATTCATTCTCCTTACACCAAATACAACTCACTATACCAGGGGTATTCATTCCCTTTAGACACAATACAACATAATTTCCCGGGGTATTCATTCTCCTTAGACACAATACAACACTATTTACCAGGGGTATTCATTCTCCTTAGACACAATACAGAATATTTTACCGTATTCATTCTTCTTAGACAAAATACAACACTCTTTACCAGGGGTTTTTTCTCCTTAGACACAATACAACATACTTTTATAGAGGTATTCATTCTCCTTAGACAGAATACAACATATTCTACTAGGGGTATTCATTCTCCTTAGACACAATACAACATACTTTCCAGGGGTATTCATTCTCTTTACACCAAATACAACTCACTATACCAGGGGTATTCATTCTCCTTACACCAAATACAACTCACTATACCAGGGGTATTCATTTACCTTAGACACAATACAACACTATTTACCAGGGGTATTCATTCTCCTTAGACACAATACAACTCACTATACCAGGGGTATTCATTCTCCATAGACACAATACAACACTATTTACCAGGGGTATTCATTCTCCTTACACCAAATACAACTCACTATACCAGGGGTATTCATTCTTCTCAGACACAATATAACACTATTTACCAGGGGTTTTTATTCTCCTTAGACACAATACAACACTATTTACCAGGGGTATTCATTTTCTTTAGACACAATACAACACACTTTATATTCATCCTCTTTAGACACAATACAGAATATTTTACCAGGGGTTTTTATTCTCCTTAGACACAATACAGAATATTTTACCAGGGGTATTCATTCTTCTCAGACACAATATAACACTCTTTACTAGGGGTTTTTATTCTCCTTAGACACAATACAACATACTTTTATAGGGGTATTCATTCTCCTTAGACACAATACAACATATTTTACTACGGGTATTCATTCTCCTTAGAAAAAAAAAATTACTGTTAAAGTAAAGAAGAAAGCAGTGGGATTCAATCCATTTTGATGATGATTAAGCTCTCATAAATATTTTTTGAATTGTTTTTCCAAATGTTTGAATGATGATCCTTGATTGAGTAATGAAAGATTAGTCGGTTTTTACCAATCATTACATTTTACATTCAATTTTAAAAACTTGATATTCGACTTATAATGGAGAAAGTTTTTTTACTTCGGTTGTTTTTTGCCTTTAGGATAGGATCAATGTTTAGGAGTTTTCTTACAGGTAGGATCAATATTTGGGAGTTTTCTAGTTATTGTCAAGAGTAAAAACTGACGGTTTTCTTGTTAATCTGAGAATTTCTCTTTAAGACTTGAAAATTAAAGTTTCCAGCTATATTGAATCTCGCTGTATAATTATATTGAATCTCGCTGTATAATTATATTGAATCTCGCTGTATAATTATATTGAATCTCGCTGTATAATTTTATTGAATCTCGCTGTATAATTATATTGAATAAATAGTATTTCTAAATTCTACTTCAAAACCATAAAAACATTGAAATTCTAGAAGGAATTTTAAATCTTTAGAGTAGAAATATATTTTTAAATATTTTAAAGTAAACTTGTCATTCATTAAAAATCGTCTAAGAAAGGAAAATTTAGTTTTTTAAACGTTGAATTGAATTTGGAAAGATTTCGTAAGAACATCTCTGACTATAATAAAATCCTTGTAAGCATAACTATTGCTATCGTATTCCTTGTAAGCATATTTCTTGCTATCGTATTCCTTGTAAACATGACTCTTGTTATCGTATTCCTTGTAAGCATAACTCTTCCTATCGTAAACTTTGTAAACATAACTTTTCCTATCGTAAACCTTGTAAACATAACTCTTGCTATCATATTCCTTGAAAGCATAATTCTTGCTATCGTATTCCTTGTAAACATAACTCTTGCTATCGTATTCCTTGTAAACATAACTATTGCTATCGTATTCCTTGTAAACATAACTCTTGCTATCGTTTTCCTTGTAAACATAACTCTTTCTATCGTAAACCTTGTAAACATAACTCTTGCTATCATATTCCTTGTAAGCATATTTCTTGCAATCGTATTCCTTGTAAGCATAACTCTTGCTAACATCTTCCTTGTAAGCATATTTCTTGCTATCATATTTCTTGTAATCATAACTCTTGCTATCGTATTCTTTGTAAACATAAACTCTTGCTATCGTATTCCTTGTAAACATAACTATTGCTATCGTTTTCTTTGTAAACATAAACTCTTGATTTCTGATTGTCTAAACGTGTTTTTTTTCGGTCCGAAGGCCCGAAGTACGAATACTTAAATTATTTTAATTGTAACCTAAACATATATATTGCAGTATACATTATGTTTAATGATGCCTTGGAGATACTAAACGCGGAATGTAAAACTCACCTCGAGAAATATCCTCCTGAACCCAACCCCTGGCTCCGTCAGTCTTGGGGATCTGAAGATTGTCGGAGACTGGTGGCTGAGCAGGTTGCTTCACTCCTAGAGCAGGTTCAAGACGAGGGAGTTATCCGGTATCCATCCTTCAGCTTTACAGATAACGTAGAGTACGTTCAAGGATACGGATTAAGGTACTTTAATAACGCAAATTTTATCGCAAAGTTTGAAATAGAAAAAAAATATTTTAATTTCTTCGTAGAGAGGTACAAAATGCATAGAACTTGGCGACACAATAGTTAGTTAAAAATGAATTTTAAAAACCAAATTGGCAAAAATTGGCAAACACAGTTTTAGTAAATTATTTGATTTTAATTTCTTTCTGCCGGAAACTCCAATTTCATGAAGAAGAAAAACGGTTTAATGATCAATGTCAACATAAATCTTACGATTAATTTGAGATTAATTTTAGAAGAGTAAATAACCCGGTTTTGTCTACAGTAAGACGGGAGAAGAACAAAGAAAGGTTTGACAAGTTTATCTTCGTCCTAAACACGATCCTCTCCGGGTTGTTAAAGAGCAGGAGATCCAACAAGAGAGATCTATACTACCAAAACGTACACAACTTCTCTGAGCAGGGTGAGCTGGATGAGCTAGTGAAGAAGGTTGTCAGTATCATGAGTATACCCAGAACCCTGCTGGGTATAGTAGCTACCATCAAGGGTCTGGTTGCTGGTAATATAAAGTATATAGATGAGAGCGGAGTAGAAGTTAACTGTCTTCTAGCAGAGGAAAATAATCAAACTTATGATAAAAATGCCTTTAATTAAAATTTTGTTTTTTTTAAGGGCTTTGAACAAAAAGCTTTAAATTCTATTAAAACATGAAAATTTTGAAAGTTTAAGAGAATGTAAGTAAAGGTAGTTTTCAGCACAAAATTTAAAGAGAAAAGTTGTTTCCTTTTATCGACTGGTCTAATAAAAATCTACCCAAAGGAACTGAGTTCTTACCACCAACTCAAATATTCTCATTCATATATCTTTGCAACCTGGTAATAGTATTAACATTTAATACTTTCAAACTTAAACTGTTTGATCTTATAGATTTCATAGATTGAAATATTAAAGGTTATACGACATCGGGTTGCATCGGGCATATTGAAACATTAGAGTTTGTGACAATTACGTTTGTACCAGTCCGACGTTTGTACTAGTCCGAGCTTTGTACTGTCCGACCTTTGTAACGTCCGGCGTTTGTGGTTCCGAAGTTTGTACTAGTATAATGGATTTATCTCTAAAGAAAAATCATTTTTTCACCCCTCTTTTGGAAATTTTTTTTCCCCCAAGAAGTCAGGGGGGAAAATTAGGTTTTATTCGCTGAATTGGGTAAGTAAAATGACTTTTAAGGAAAAATAAATTATTTTTTGGGTAAAAAGTATTAAAAAAACTTGATGTCCTTTCATTCCCCCAGATATTTAAAAACATAAACGCCTGAAAAGTCTTGCCTCAAAATTTAATTTTTATTTTATAATTCTTATATTACTGGAACCTGATTATGTAAACCTTTGATATTTTGAATTAGGATTATTAGAATTTTAGCAGTATTTATCAAGTGGGTGAGACTGGTTTAAAGGAATAAAGAGATTTTATATTTATTTTATTATCTTAACGAACCATCCTTTATAGAAGTTAGCTTACACTGAAAACAAGTGATAATTCTTTTCCTTGTTTTTCTTGTTTAATTTCATTGCTGCGAAAACATGTAGAAAAACAAAACCATTATTTTGTTTTGGTTATAATTTCTCTGAGAGATTGGTGTACTAAAAAGATTGGTTCACTATAAAGGCTTTATGGTTGTTCAAAAAGATTTTATTTATATACATATGTTTGCCTTTTGTTCACTGTAAAAATTTGCCGCCAAGAAAAAACTGGTCTAGTAGAAAGATTTTGTCGCCAAAAATCAACTGGCCTCCTAGAAAGGCCCACTAGTAAGATTTGTCTCCTAGAAAGACTGGTGTACTTTTAAGATTTGCCTCATAGAAAGGCTAGTCCGCTAGTAAGATTTGCCTCCTAGAAAGACTGGTGTACTAGGAAGATTTGTCTCCTAGAAAGACTGGCCAACTATAAAGATTTGTCTCCTAGAAAGACTGGCCAACTATGAAGATTTGTCTCCTAGAAAGGCTCTTCTACTAGTAAAATTTGCCTACTGGAAAGACTGGTGTACTGAAATAAGATTTGCCTCCTAGAAAGACTGGTGTACTGAAGTCAGATTTGTCTCCTAGAAAGACTGGTCTACTTGTAAGATTTGCCTTCTAGAAAGACTAGTCTACTAGTAAGATTTGTCTCCTAAAAAGACTGTTTTACTAGTAAGATTTGCCTTCTAGAAAGACTAATTAACTAGTAAGATTTGTCTCCTAGAAAGACTGTTCTACTTGTAAGATTTGCCTTCTAGAAAGACTAGTCTACTAGTAAGATTTGTATCCTAGAAAGACTGTTCTACTTGAAAGATTTGTGTCCTAGAAAGACTAGTCTACTAGTAAGATTTTTCTCCTAGAAAGATTGGGCTACTAGTAAGATTTGCCTTCAAGAAAGACTGGTCTAATAGTAAGATTTGTCTCCTAGAAAGACTGTTCTACTTAAAGTAAGATTTGTATCGTAGAAAGACTTGTCTACAAGTAAGATTTGTCTCCAAGAATGACTGTTTTACTAGTAAGATTTGTCTCCTAGAAAGACTGTTCTACTTATAGTAAGATTTGTCTCCCAGAAAGACTGGTCTACTTGTAAGATTTGCCTTCTAGAAAGACTGTTCTACTTTGAAGATTTGTCTCCTAGAAAGACTGGTCTACTTGTAAGATTTGTCTCCTAGAAAGACTGTTCTACTTATAGTAAGATTTGTCTACTAGAAAGACTATTCTACTAGTAAGATTTGCCTTCTAGAAAGACTGATCTACTTGTAAGATTTGCCTACTAGAAGGATTGGTCTACTAGTAAGATTTGCCTTCTAGAAAGACTGATCTACAAGTAAGATTTGTCTCCTAGAAAGTCTGTTTTACTAGTAAGATTTGTCTTCTAGAAAGACTGGTTTACTTGTAAGATTTGCATTCTAGAAAGACTGATCTACTAGTAAGATTTGTCTCCTAGAAAGACTGTTCTACTTGTAAGATTTGCCTTCTAGAAAGACTGGTTTACAATAGTAAGATTTGTCTCCTGGAAAGACTGTTCTACTAGTAAAAATTGCCTCCTAGAAAAACTGTTTTTAGCAATTTTATTTTTATGTTAATAGATTTAATCTATTTCTACCTAAAACTGAATATTTTAAATCCTGATATTTAAGTTTGCCAAAGAAATGTCTAAACCTTTAGGTTTTCAATAGGGAATGAAATCACAATAGATCAAAAGTATTCAAAAGGTAACATTTTTTATATTTTAATTAATCTTTCTTCCCTTTAAAAGTACGCTGCCATCTTTTTTTGGAGAATTGAGTTTTTATCACAAACTCAAATTTTCTAATCCCTATATCTTTGCAACCCGATGTCGTAGACCTTTGATTTTTTAAACTTTAAAGATTTACACTATCAGGTTGCAAAGATATAGGGATGAGAAAATTTGATTTTTTGTCAAAAACTCAATTTCTTTTTGGTTTCTGTGGTTAAGTTTGATTTTGACTCCGGACCAGGGCGGAGAACAGGTTCCTTCAGATTCAACTCAGATATCAGGTAGGCTACTGGACATGGATCTCATATTTTCTTATAGAAATTGTAAGGTTTATTCCAAAATATTTTTTTACAAAACAAAAAAATATGCAAAATTATGTATTCCTTCTCATAACATTTTTATCATTTTAGTAATTACATCGTTAGTAAATCCTTTAACATACAAATCGTTTATTCTTGTATTTAAATGTTCTTGTAAAATCGAAACTTTCCATGCATTCTTTAATGGGAAAAATTTTCAATTGTTTCTTAACTAAAGTTTCACAGATTTACAAAACAATCATTTGCAATAGAACATAAATTTCTGTCGAGAACATGTGTTTAAAAGTCATTTTACATAAATGGGGAAGAAATCTAAAGCAAAAGTTATGAGTAGAACTCTCCAATAGTATAGTAAAGAAGGAATTATTATTTAGTGGATTTAAATTTGAACTTAAAACATGTTTAAGGTACCCGTCGTCGCCAGGAGAATTATAAATAGGATTTAATAATATTAAAGAATTTAAGTGTTTTTCTGGACGTTACAAAAAAACAAGAAGCAAGCTAGAAATTGAGTGAGAGAAAGGCTGGAACAATTGTTGAAACGTGAATTATAAAATGAATGCATGTAAAGTACGATTACTCAAGGCCTTTCAATTCTTGTACAGGTTCGGATTATGCAACGATAAAACATGTGAGATATTCTTTAATATTCCTTTATTTTCACTCTTAACTCTCGGCCTTAGTTGAAAAGCTTAGTTTGAGAAAATTATTGCAAAGTTTAATCCGATGAAGTTAAAAAATATTTAACTCTGAAAAGTTTAGCGTGAATATATGGAGTTTATATCCTGTGTAATTACTATTACCATAGGCTCCACAAGTGAAATGTTAAAAGTTTAGCGTGAATATATGGAGTTTATATCCTGTGTAATTACTATTACCATAGGCTCCACAAGTGAAATGTTAAAAGTTTAGCGTGAATATATGGAGTTTATATCCTGTGTAATTACTATTACCATAGGCTCCACAAGTGAAATGTTAAAAGTTTCCTAAATTTATTCTAAAATATTCTAGCAATATAAATAGTGGGGTGAAACTTATGAATAATGTTGGTAATGTATTTAACAGGGGGGGATATTAAAATAATAGAGGTTTGATAAATATTCATTTAGAATCCTTTCTATTAATTAACAATATCCTTTGTTTACATTCTAGTTCTAGGGAACAAAATATTAAAATGGGTTAAATTGTATTTTTATTTTTATTTTCAGCAGGCTTTGTTATGGACTTCTAAATGAATCTGCATATCTTTGCAACCTGATAATTAAAACCTTTAGTTACTTTATGATATAGATTTTAGTGATTAAAATTCAGATTATACTGGTGGTGAAGATGTTTTTTTCTCAGATATTTTTAGGAGTGGAGACGGCCGAGCTCAGCTTATACTGGTGTTGGAGATGGTTTTGTCTCAGATATTTTTAGGAGTAGAGACGGGAGCTTAGCTTCTACTTCTAGAGGTTTTATCAGAAATTTGTATAAGCGTCACGACGGGAGTTCATCTAATATATATACTTGTGGTGGAGAAGGTTTTGTATCAGATATTTGTAGGAGTAGAGACGATAGCTCAGCATATACTGGTGGTGGAGAAGGTTTTGTATCAGATATGGAGCCTAGCTTCTCTGGTGGTGAAGAAGGTTTTGTATCAGATATTTGTAGGAGTAGAGACGGGAGCTCAGCATATACTGGTGGTGGAGAAGGTTTTGTATCAGATATTTGTAGGGGTAGAGACGGGAGCCCAGCTTATACTGGTGGTGGAGAAGGATACAGTTTTCCAAAGATTGATCCAGGAATACCTGAAACAAGATTCACTCAGGCAAACATGGTGATTGTGACGCCGTGACATTTGATCCTACGAGACGTGATCAAGTCGACATTTGATCCAGTAATAAAAAACAAAATTTGATCTATTTGTTACGTGGATTATTTGTCTTGATCAATTAATGACTGGATCACTTGTCGTTGGAACACTAGTTGTTGGATCACATGTCGCTGGATCATATGTTGTTGGAACACTAGTTGTTGGATGACATGTCGCTGGATCAGATGTCGTGGCGCCGATGAATGTATTTTACCAAACCAAATATATTAAGTTCTGGAGAATTATTCCAAATATAACTGAAAAGAAAGATACGAATAAACCCAGAATTCAGATGCTGAGTTAAACTAGTTGAAATATTCAAGGTTGCTTGTAGGATAAAATTTATCTAAAATTTATCTACAATATTTGGAAAATTGTCGAAAAGATGAAAAGAGCATTGAAAAAAAGTATAGCTAAGGTGGACTCCAACTCTAGCTAAGGTGGACTCCAACTCTAGCTAAGATGGACTCATACTCTAGCTAAGGTGGACTCCAACTCTAGCTAAGGTGGACTCCAACTCTAGCTAAGGTGGACTCCAACTCTAGTTAAGGTGGACTCCAACTCTAGTTTTTTTTTACAGTGCAGTGTTAACCTGAAGCTATGGAAAGATTTTTGTGTTATTTATCTTTTAGTTAAGAAATGTCATAATTGACTTACACTTTCTTTTAAAGGAAGTGTTCGCGAAAAATGAAAGGGGGTATAGGCTTAATGCGATAAAAAAGCGCTTTTGGTCGCTACTAATCTTACTTCTATCTGTTGCGTCTATAAGGAGAAAGGAATTGAGTCTTTGCAACAAACTCTAATTTTCTATTCCTTTAATTGTTCAAACCAAATGTTGTAGACCTTAAATATTTCAAACTAACTCAATTTGTATGGACGTTAGTTACGTTTTTCAGTATAAGTCGTTTTTAACAATTTTCTCCTTACAGACAGACGCAACAGATAGAAGTAAGATAAGTAGCGATCAATAGCGCTTATTTTTAGTCATAATCATATACCCCCTTTTATTTTTCGCGAACACTCCCTTTAAAAAAGGGAAGAAAGAAAAGAGACGACAGTCATTCCACTGTTTTCAAAATACCACAATGGAAGGAAATGTAAAGAAAAATAAGATAATAGAAAAAGCATATATAAGAAAATAGATGAAAAAGGGAAGAAATGAAAAAAAAATATATAATATTATGATAATAAATGATCTAATTGAAATAGACAGTAAGATAGATATAAGCATATAGATTATCAAGTACAATAAGTGGCAACAGAGAAATGGAAATTATAGAAGACGTCACAAGTGTCAAATATAACAGGGAAAATGAAATTTTCTCACATTAAAAAGATAAAAAGTGTAAAAACAGAAAACAAAGAACACATAAAAATTGCAATTATTTTTCTGTAAGATAAGCACTTTATTCTAAAAAAAATTATCACTATTATTAACAATTTTGTAAATAGCTGTACTGAGAGTATACAAATTCTACGTTGACATCTATTGTACTAGAATCTATTTGGATATACGTTAATGAGGCTACCTTGTTTAAACAAGATAGAATAATATATTAAGCATGAAGTAATTTAATAAAAAAAAGAAAGCTAAATTTAATAAAATTAAGATAACAGATAACAAAGGCATTTAATAGATAAAAAAGAAAGTAGATAATGAAGTTATATATTAAAAAGATAAAAAAGAAAGTATTATGTAGTTTTGCCTTGATATCATTTCTTCTTGGAGAACGGTGTTTTCCTGGGAACAAGAACTTTTAGTGAGTTGATCTCAAAATCCAGGGTTTGGTTAATTCCACTAAAATACGTAAATTGGTAACATCTGAATGTAGGTGACTTGGACCCCCGTCTCATAGTTCTTGAAAACCTCGCGTGACTATCTATCTATTAACCTAACTTGACCTGAAATAGTATAATCACGCGAGGTTGAAAACAAAAACTAAGGGGGAGGGGGGGGGGGGGGTTCCACAACTTCTGTAGTAATACTAACCCCATATTCTATTGATTTCTAAAATCTGTAGAGCTGAAAAATCTAATATATAAAGCATGTTTCCATTCACTATTGTTTGTGTGCAGAGATATAATTCTTCTAACTGGAAAGGGGGTTCCAGACCTAGCAACCAGGAATATTCATTTACTTTCTGAACGAAAAATCGGCTTTTTCTCCGGCCACAGTTGTCTTTGAAAAGTAAGTGTAATACCAATCAACAGCGAATAGGCTGTTTAGTTTACCCTGAAATTACCCAAATAAGTGAACGGTCCCTTTAAAAGTGATATACTACTGACCTGAAACGACGCCTTTAATTATTGAGACCAAACTAAATATTTTGTATTTATCTTTTTGAGGAGTACATTCTGTACAAAGTTTAATTATAATATTCATACATTTTCTGTAAAATATACAAAATAAATATCGAATATTCTTCTAGCCTGTCAATAGAAATATTTGCATAATATTTATATATATTTATATATTCATTTTTTATTAATCAAATCAAAATCTTATAGATCAGACAAAAGGTTTTAATAAATAACCTTGAGTGTATTGTCCATTAGTTTCAAGAAACAAATGAAGCTGTAAATGTAATGCCAAGTTCATTTCAAGTTTCTGATTGAAATTCCAGATCTCAGCCAGGAAATAATAAATGGATTTAGGAGTTTTCTTCACAGATTAACAAGTCTTTTCCAGCTCCCGGTTCTAGTTCTTACAGATTGTGATCCATTCGGGTTTGAGATTATGCTCACGTACAGGTATTATATGAACTGCTGTACGCTGCACTGTACAGGGATATACACCGTAGTGTATATTATACCCTGTACACTACAAAATAGAAAGTAGCGCCTCGTAGTTTTGATTGTATTCACAAGTTTAAGTTACAAATTAGAAATTCATAACATTTTTATTATTCTCCAAAACTCTTTAATTAAAGGATTGAAACATATAAGATTCCAATCTAAAGTGCAATTTACTTTAGTTAGACGTGGTATAGTGTACGTACAGGTTTTACTTCAAATAAAAATAAAAACTGTCACTACTAGCTTTTATGTACATTTATGGCTATTCTTAGCATTTTTTAATATTTTTTAAAAATGCTTAACTGTGCAAAAAATTCTGTTTTGGGAAAACATCGATGTTATAGTTCTAGAAATGAATTGGTTTTAAATAAACCAATATGCGAGTCAATAGCACCTTTTTAAAGCTGTATAGCTGAAAAAAATTGCCCAGAAATAAGGGACCTGCAACCCAAACAATGTCTTTCGCCTACTAACCATTTTAGCGTTTAAATGATGCGTGTCAGACCACAATTTTGTCTTTATAATTGTAAAATTCAAAATCTCGCGATTTTTCTGTGAAGATGGATATTGAAAATTGCGAAAACTCCAAATATTTTTCCAGACATAATTTTTTATTTCGATCAGCCTTCTCTAGAGCCATGATAGTTGCCACGCCAAAATTAGGCCCGATCTTTCTGCCGATTTGACGTTTATTGGAAACAAACAGACAGACTAGCAAAATTTATACGGAATTAACCTAGGGTTGACAATTTTAATTTTCTGATTTTTGATATAATTCCTTTTTTATTTCAAATCCACTTGTACAACCCCTTACACTCCAACTTTCCTTCTAGTCCTCCCTCCCCCCTCCCATTCCCTTCTTGTTTGTATAAACAATAGACAATAAACAAGGAAACCCCCAACAGTTCTACTCTTAGAGTATATATAAAAGATAGGCAATAGAAAACAGATGTCCTCCATATATCGTTTTGAAGACAAATCAGATTATGTTTAAAAGTTAAAAAAAGAATTTCTTATTGTTAATTAATAGAAAGGAGGATTTTTTCTATAATAAAAAAAAGTTTCCTAGTAAACTGATTCGAAAATTTTACCTCCTTCTTATTGCATTTAAGGTCTAAACATATTCTAAATACTTCAAATTTACCTGTCACTGTATGTTTTTTATAGTATATACTCCAAGATTCTGCAACATTAATATTTCTATAGATTTGGATCAAGGAGTATGGCACTGTGTGGAGAAACATTAGCAGTTCCGTCCTTGTTCTGGTTAGGGGTTCTTCCCAGGGATATTCCTATGCTTCAGGTAGAGTTCTAACTACGGGTTCTTCCTAGGGATATTCCTATGCTTCAGGTAGAGTTCTAACTACGGGTTCTTCCCAGGGATATTCCTATGCTTCAGGTAGGGTTCTAACTAGAGGTTCTTCCCAGTGATATTCCTTTGCTCCAGGTAGGGTTCTGAAAGTTGATGCATTGTTTTCATGCATGTTTAGACCGCTGTGCTAAGTAAAAATAAGTATCTGCATGAATTGTTTAAAATAATTGACTGTATTGTGTTGACAGAGGGTTACAATGTTCCCTATTACAATGTATTCCCTAGGGTCAATCTACTTTTCTAAAAGCCCTCAATCGACATTATAGACAAAACATTTTTATTATGATTAAATATTTGTATTTTATGTCGCTCTGTTGTACAATCATGTTGTAGACTTGAAGGGAAGGTTTTTGTTTCCTATAAATTGTAAACCAGGGGATAGGAATGGATAATTATTGTAAACCAGGGAACAGGAATGGATATTTATTGTAAACCAGGGAACAGGAATGGATATTTATTGTAAACCAGGGAACAGGAATGGATATTTATTGTAAACCAGGGAACAGGAATGGATATTTATTGTAAACCAGGGAACAGGAATGGATATTTTTTACATTAATTCTGACCCATTAAATTCAATCAAATATTCTAGTAAGAAACCAATTTTAACGTAAATAACGGTCAACAATCCTCCTCTTCAGATTTTTGATTTGAAACAAAGCCGTAAATTTTGGTTGAGAGAGGAATGATAATAAGTTCTGATATCAGATAAGGTCTAGTTTTCTTGTCAGATTATGGACATGTTTTGGGTGGATATCGACACCCAATTTTTATTTTGTGACGAATAATAAATGAGGAACCTGACGGATCAGGATATTAATGAGGAACCTGACAGATCAGGATATTTATGAGGAACCTGACAGATCAGGATATTTATGAGGCACCTGACGGAACAGGATATTAATGAGGAACCTGACAGATCAGGATATTTATTAAGAACCTGACAGATCAGGATATTAATGAGAAACCTGATAGATCAGGAGATTAATGAGGAACCTGACGGATCAGGATATTAATGAGGAACCTGAAAGATCAGGATATTTATTAGGAACCTGACATATCAGGATATTAATGAGGAACCTGACAGATCAGGATATTTATTAGGAACCTGACAGATAAGGATATTTATGAGGAACCTGACAGATCAGGATATTTATGAGGAACCTGACGGATCAGGATATTAATGAGGAACCTGTCAGATCAGGAGATTAATGAGGAACCTGACAGATCAGGATATTTATTAGGAACCTGACAGATAAGAATATTTATTAGGAACCTGACAGATCAGGATATTTATTAGGAACTTGACACATCAGGATATTAATGAGAAACCTGACAGATCAGGAGATTAATGAGGAACCTGACAGATCAGGATATTTATGAGGAACCTGACAGATCAGGATATTTATTAGGAACCAGACAGATCAGGATATTTATTAGGAACCTGACAGATCAGGAGATTAATGAGGAACCTGACAGACCAAGATATAAATAAGGAACCTGAGAGATCAGGATATTTATTAGGAACCTGACATATCAGAATATTTATTTGGAACCTTACATATTCGGATATTTATGATGAACCTGACAGATCAATATATTCATGAGGAACCTGACAGATCAGGATATATATTAGAAACCTGTTAGCTCTGGATAATAATGAGGAACCTGACAGATGAGGAGATTAATGAGGAACCCGACAGACCAAGATATAAATAAGGAACCTTACAGATCAGGATATTAATGAGGAACCTGACAGATCAGGATATTTATTAGGAACCTGACAGATCAGGATATTTATGATGAACCTTACATATCAATATAATCATGAGGAACCTGAAAGATCAGAATATTCATGAGGAACCTGACAGATCAGGTTATTTGTGAGGAACCTGACAGATTAGGATATTTATGAGGAACCTAACAGACCAGGATATTTATGAAGAACCAGACAGACCAGAATATTTATGAGGAACCTGACATATCAGTTATTTATGAGGAACCTGACAGGTCAGGATATTTATCATGAACCTGACAGATCAAGATATTTATGAGGAACCTGACAGGTTAGGATATTTATTAGGAACCTGACAGATTAGGATATGAATGAGAAACCTGACAGATCAGGATATTAATGAGAAACCTGACAGATCAGGATATTTATTAGGAACCTGACAGATCAGGATAATTATAAGGAACCTGACAGACTAGGATATTTATGATGAAACTGACAAACCAGGATATTTATCAGGAACCTGATAATCAGGATATTTATTGGGAACCTGGCATATCAGATATTAATGAGAAACCTGACAGATCAGGATATTTATTAGGAACCTGACAGATCAGGATATTAATTTATTAGGAACCTGACAGATCAGGATATATATTAGGAACCTGACAGATCAGGATATTATTTCAGGTTCCCCCTGAAATTCGTCTTCAACTATCCCAGGCCGACTGTAAAAAGCTCAAGGATATATCCAAACGACCCTATTTAAGGTGAGTTTTGTTTCACTTTATTTATTTATTTATTTATTTATTTATTTATTTATTTATTTCTCGACTATTGTTTTATTGCTTTTGCATACTTAGATAATGTTAAAGCTTGCAAAGTACGAGTTTTTAGACAAAGAGGGTTGTCTACATACATGTAATTGTTTATAATTAAAAATACGAAGAAATAAAAAATATATTACTTAAAGAATATTTCTGGGTGGATAAAGGCTGTATCAAATTAGAAAAATAAAGAATATTAGCTGAAAGGTATTGTAAAGGAAAAATGAAAGGGGGTACATGCTGAAAGCTTATTACTTTACCTCTGATACACAACCTCGGCGATTTCCTAAAGACCTTATGATAAATAGACAACTACCGTGCTGTATTTCGTCGGGCCTGACCGTAAGATCCTCTACTTTTATTCCTTCTCATAATGAATCAAAGACAGGAAAGCTTCAAGTTTTATTGAGGCACAGATCTTCAATCTTAAACAATAAAACTTGTTTACACTACAGAAAAGCTTTGAGGAACATGATCAATACAATTCATCCAATACATAAATCAAACCATCTCATGTCTCAGGCATTAAAAACTGTAGCATTAAGCTGGAAAATACGCGTATATAATCATACAAGAAACATAAAAAGAATTTAAATATTTAAAGGAGATATTTACCACATTAGTCCTCCGATATTAGCACGATAATCAGCAAAACATGACACGAATAATAATTTTACTGGAATACTGGAAAAAAACTGAAAGAAAAACACGCGAGTTTCTCGTGCATGCGTAGATAGAATAATTTGTCGGCAAAAATCTGGTTTCATCTCCAGCATCTTCATCTTGAAAACAGGGGTGAATACTGGTAGAACAAGGGTGCATTATAGACTTCATAACGAAGCGTGAGCTTGCATAACAACCTCTTAATTGCGACCCATGAAACGTCTATCTGAAGTTCCTGTCTCGAGAAATTGATATAAAACTGTGTCAATTTTATATGGAAATTCATATATATGTATTCAATTTTGTATAGAAAAGGTAGCTGTTTAAACAGATCATATTCAGCAAATACGCAACCAATCTGAAAACAAGGATATTCTAGAGGAATGATTATTCAATTACTGACTCATTATACTAAATCCATCTTAAAATCACTCATTAACCAACTTTGTGATATTTCAAGATGCAATACTCAGTCAAATTTGTCAAAAATTTCATTGTAAAACAGGTTAAGAATTCAACACACAAAATATTAATCTTAAGTAGAATTGAAAAAAATGGTTTGAGTTGTGCTTTTTTGCGTGACACGGCTGGATTTTTTAAAATCACACTTTAAAGGCCCTAACTATACCATTTAAAAAAGTAGTTTTGCCCGGAAGAGTCAATGTGCATGGTGGCATGGAAGGAGAAATAGTGGTTGCTCATGGCCGCCTGCCTTCCCCCGCCTGCAGTATACTGGTCACATGTCTCTGTCTTTATCATGTGACCAGTATACTGCACTCTCATTGGATGGAGTTCTTGTGACGTAATACGGAAACGGAAACGGCCCCCACCCTTTGTCCACTTAGTTTTTGAAATTGCAACTATCTATCGAAAACAATTTTGATCTAAATAAACTATCCCTGTCTGAAGAAAAGAATTTTGTTATCTTTTCTTCTTCAATAAATATTTTTGTAAAGGAGGATTATTTCTTTTCAGTTCCTTACATTTATTTATCCCATTTATATGAATATAATGAAAAAGTTTTATAAAGTATTTTTTTTCTAAGCCTATATCACTGAAAACTCCAACTTATTTGAAGTACCAGAGCAACTTTTAGGCAGCTAGAGAAAGTATGTATAGTATACATACAGATTACAGACTATAGACGGCACAACGGGATAGTATAGTACAGTACTTGAATGATCCCTTCTAGTGAGATCAGGGGTGTATATTTTTCCGTTTGCCGGCAAAAATTTTAGCTTTCATTGGGTTTTGGGGGAAAAATGAAGAAAAAAAGGAAAAGTTAGGGTGTTTGGTTTTGTCACAATCTTCAAAAAATACATGAACAAGAAATTACAACGGATTTAGGATAATCTAGATATATAAATAGATTCTAACGACTATTAATAAAAGATTTGGAGGCGTCGCAAGCGCGCCCAAGTATTTGTTTCGTCTCTGATTCATCCCCCCCACCCTCCACCTCTGGACTAAATTAAGTATGAATATATTAAGATTGGTTTCCTAGGTCTATGGTTGGATTGGTGAATGAGTTTGAAACCTTGTGGAGATTAGGATATAAGGTGGGATTAATTTCATATCTAAATATATTCATTATCTAGATAACTTTAGAGATGCCAACATAAATCTAAAACCTAATTTTATAAACCAACATCTCTCAGAGCTATTTCCTGCTACAAAAGTTTATGTATAATTTCAATGAATGTGAAATGTAGGTTAAAAAGAAAAAGAAAGGATCTGATATTTTATTAAATTCAAATTTTCTCTGCCATATGGATTTAATCACAGTGAAGGGAATATTTATATAGAATGGAATTAAATCAAAAAAAGTGTAAAACCGCCATTTTGTTGTACTGTTTCCATACCATTCCATACTTTACCCTTTTGTTCTCTTTAACCTTTTGGGCCCTGTAACATATTTTATGTTTTCTAAATCAACTACTATCATGCCCAAGTTCATTTTAGCATAAGATTTGAAGATAGAGATCAATTTAATGTTTTTTTCTTCCATGAACACATGTTTCTTACTTTGAGGTAATCAACCCGTAAAGTTAATATTATGGAATTACCCAAGATACCGAAATATGGTCTGACTTTTCTGAACACAAAAATTGAACTCTATAATTTCAATTTTAATTCAATAATGTTAAAACCCCATGAGAAATTTTAATAAATCAAGCTAGATTGTTAACGTGTGAGTTCGTTTTCAAAAATACATGAGAGTGTAACAGTAAAAGTTTCATATTTTTTAAAAATACCTCAATTTAAAAAAAATTAAACAAAAAAAAAATCAAAATATTAGTCACTTTGTAAGGACGTACTTTAAGATAATTTGCTTGTAGAATCCCTTGTTCAATCAAACATTCAAATGTTCTTGCATTTCCCGCATTTGTTTATTTATTCTATTAATTTATCAGAAAAACATTCCTCCTCATCCCCCTCCCATATAAACATTCCTCCTCATCCCCCTCCCATATAAACATTCCTCCTCATCCCCCTCCCATATAAACATTCCTCCTCATCCCCCTCATTTATATTATTATGAATATGCTTGATTTAAGACCAAAGAACTGGTTTAATATTTAACGAATCACAGTGAAATCAACTTTTCTGAATTCAGTGCCTTAAGACGGATCTTTTAATACCCATCTTCTATATATAAATTTGGCTTGTCTGTCTGTCTGTTTGTTTGTATCCAATAATTTTTTTTAAATCCGCCAAAAAAATTTCTTCTTTGTTTTAAAATGTAAACAAAAAGAACATGTTCACAATTTAAATAGAAGATGAGCGCGAAGCGCCCTAAAAGCCTAGTCTATATATAAATTTGGCTTGTCTGGGTGTTTGTCTGTCTGTCTGTTTGTTTGTTTGTATCCAATAAACGTCAAAACGGCTGAACCGATCGGGCCCAAATTTTTTGTGAGACATCACGTGACCACAGGGAAGGTTTATGAATTATAAAAATTAAAAAAATGTCTTTTAAAGGTTTTTAATTTTGTAAAAAAAAATTAAATTCTTAAAAATCCGCGAATTTTTTTTTAAAAATCCGCAAAAATTTTTTCTTTTTTGTTTTAAAATGTAAACAAAAAGAACATGTTCACAATTTAAATAGAAGATGGACGCGAAAAAGCCTAGTATTCATATATTTGGAGACTTTTTCTTACTTGTAACTTTTATGTTATTTTTTATTAAAATAGCTCTCAGCTCGCTATTTTCTAAACATTTTGATAAATTTATCATTCCGAAGATATTTAGGCTCATTTTTAGGCTGAAGTTCTAAGTGAAAAATTGATAAAAACTAGTTTTGCTAAATTTTTCCTATTAAGTACAAACTTACTTACAGTTCTACTTAGTAAATACAGATGTTGTAGATATTTTTCAAAGTTCTAAATTTTTGTGTTTAAAATGAATTTATCAGATACAATTTCTGATCTAAATTAATTATACCTTCCTGAAGAAAGGATTTTGGACATGTTTATATATTTTAAATAAATATTTGTGCAATGGAATTTAGTCTTTGCCGCAAACTCAAAGTTTCTAATCTCTATATCTTTGCAATCTTATGGTGTAAACCGTTGAGATTTCAAACTTTGATTATTTGATCTAACAGGATTCATAGTTTGAAATATCTAAGGTTTAACCCATTGGGTTGCAAAGATAAAAGGATTGAAAAATCAGAGTTTGTAGCAAAGAATCAATTGCTTTTACAAATTATTTCTGATTGTTTTTCCCAGTTTTAGAGAATTTTGTAAAACATCAAAATTTGAAGAATTCCTGACAAAATAATAGGCTGTTCTAGAATTGTAAAGTTTGAGAACTGAATGATTTCTCTTCTGTCAAGAAATGATTGATCTTCTCCGGGTTCTATGTCAATTAAATTTAATAATATATTTTTCCAGGCTAACATATAGAGTTAATGAACTGCTCATTGTTTATCTTTAAGTTATTCTGTCAGCTGCGTCGCGTCAGTCAGAATAACATACATGTAAAAAATCATCATTTCATATATTTCTAGTTAATGTTAGGTTTTTTAGCCCACTAAATATCTTTGTATTGGGTAAAAAAGTGCCCCTAGCAGATTAATTTTTAAAAAATGGGGGGTCGTAGATTAAATATTTTTCTCTAAAATGCTTTAATGTTTTAACCTTCAAAAGTAGGTCTAATATTCGGAAATGTGCTCGGTCAGTGTTCTAAAGATTTTCAAAAAAAATTAAATCATAATTTTACTTTTATGTTTTATCCAACAGAATTAAATAGAGAATTTTTCAAAATAAAGGACATAAAAATGTATTTGAATTTTTAAAAATCTTATGAAAAGAGATTACACATTAAATTTTTTTTTTAATTTTTTAGAGTACAAATTGAATGTTTGATAGCATAATGTATGAATGACCCCCTCCAAAAAAAAAAAAAAATTATGGACATTGTAGTTATGGTTTTTAACGATGCACATGTTTGGATTTTTAAATTATTTATTTTGTTTTCTTTCTCAATCCAACAACATAATGATCTTGAGATATGTTATAAATACATTGATGTTTTGAAATAAAAAAACTTCATTTTGTCTTTTTTCTTGGATTTCTTTCATGAAATTTTTTGTACATTGCAAATATAAATATTTGTATACTCTGACTAATCCTATCTGGTTGTGCAGGTTGAGATTGAACAGGTTGCAGAGCTATCTGAGTTCTCTCTACCTCAATATATAACCAGGAAGATCCAATCCTTGGAGATAATCTAAATCCAATCCTGGAGAAACAATTAAACCCTAATATTTTTTAATTTATCTCTGTAGAAAATTAACAAAATAAAACTTAAATATTATCTGTTAATCACTTTAACTGTTGTATCGGGTATCTGTTATTCGGTCTGACATAACAACCCAAATTCGACATTTTTTACAATTACAATATCTCTAAATCCTCGTCTGCTCCTAGCGGTATTAAAGGCTGTCGGTGTCGGGACTTTGATATTATAGATTCTTCAAAATTTTAGATTCGATATCTGGATGAATGTTCTCTGTTTTCTTAAATTTCTTTTACTTTTCCTCTAAAAATATTTGAAGTTTTTGTATTTTTTTTTAAATAATTCACATAAATGATTTTAGATAAATCAATGATATTAGCGTGTTTGATATGATTTTAAATCTACAGGGTTAGCAGAACTAAAAAAGGTTTGATTTAAAGATAGCAACATGTTGATGTAAACCTGTTGCACTCTTATTCTTTAACTTTATTCCATGTTCGGTTGAAAACATTGCATTTAAAACTTGGCTTCTTTTCAGATTAACTCTAGTTCCACTCTAGCACTTTACTTAACAATATTAACGCTAATTGTTAGCTCCGTACTGTCATTGTGAAAGAAACATCTCTAGAATTAATTTAATAAAGATCTTAATAAAAATTATATTTATGAGAACTATGCACAATCGAATAGAACAAAATCTACGAACATACAGATTTGGTTTCAGGTTGGATATAGTTTCTAAAGTGGAAAGAAAAAGAAGAGAAAATTCGCCAAACTAAAGCGGAAGGTGAAGTGATGAGAAAACTAATCCAACCCCAAAAAGTACGATCGTTACTCACATAGCGAACTATAGGTAGATTAAGATGTGAGGCGAATTAACTAGAAACTGAGAGAAATTTTTAAGAATAAGACTGTAGAATTCTGTTTGTTTAGATAAGAACGCGGACAGCTGAGTGTCCAGGTTCAGAAGCCCTCACCAAAAACTATTTCCGTTTAAAATTGGATTTGATCGCTGAGGAGGTCGTTATAACTTACTTGCAAAGATAAGAATCGAAAAAGGAATTGTGTCCATGTTGAGTCTATGCCACAAACTCTGACTTTCTAATCCCTATATTTTTATATCCCAATGTTGTAGACCTTAGATATTTCAAACTATGAATTTTGTTAGTTAAATCAAATAATCCAAGTTTGAAGGTTGGTTTGAAGTCTCAAAGGTATGCAAGGTTGCAAAGATATAGGGATTAGAAAATTTGAGTTTGTTACAAAGACTCAATTCCTTTGGGGTGAGAATTGAACGTTTTTAGCATTTTAGGATTTTAAGAAAGGATGTAGGTTTCTGGAACACCTTTTATTCCAGGAAATAGTTATAAATTTCCGAATCTGGGACACGATTCGCAAATTTTTTGGGACACAACCATTTACAAAATTTCTGAGACACAATTACTGTTTAGAAATTTTCTGGGGCACAATTTACAAATTTTTATGAACACTGTATTGTGGGACGCGTAAACAATTTTCCAGTTACATTTTTAAGAAGCCCTGTATTATCAAGAGTCTAGAAACTGGACCCTGGATACTGTACCGTTCATACTACTAGAAACTAGATCCTGTATACTATTGGATACTGTACCCCGCATACTACAAGAAACTGGATCCTGGATACTATTGGATACTATACAGTGTTCCCTGCAATCTGCATACTGCCTAGATTTCACTTCACATTAAACCCAAGATACTACAGGGGGGACTGGACCCTGGATACTACTGGAACCCAGATACTATACTGAGTGGACTGGAACCTGAATACATCCAAATAATACTGGAACCCAGATACTACCTTGGGTGGACTGGACCCTGCAGGGTTCACCGACAAAGGGTCAAACGACACAGGGTCAAACGACAAAGGGTCAAACGACTCAGGGTCAAACGACAAAGGGTCAAACGACTCAGGGTCAAACGACAAAGGGTCAAAAGTGCGACAAAGGGTCAAACGACAAAAGGTCAAACGACACAGGGTCAAACGACAAAGGGTCAAACGACTCAGGGTCAAACGACAAAGGGTCAAAAGCGCGACAAAGGGTAAAACGACAAAGGGTAAAACGACATAGGGTCAAAAAATGCGATAAAGGGGCAATTTTTTTTTAAATTTTTTAGAGTACAAATTGAAGGTTTGATAGCATAATGTATGAATGACCCCCTCCAAAAAAAAAAATTATGGACATTGTAGTTATGGTTTTTAACGATGCACATGTTTGGATTTTTATACTTTTGACCCTTTGTCGTTTGACTCTTTGTCGTTTGACCTTTTCTCGGTGAATCCCCTGCAGGTTACTACCACTATCTACTAAAAACCTTGAATACTACCCCGGAAATTAAAACCTGTATAATGTTTGTATATATTACTCAATATTGGACCCTTAACACTACTCCATAGTGGACCCTGGTTATTACTTTATATTGGAACCTTGATATTACTCCTTTACATGCTCCTGGTTTTTTCTTGATGTTGGCCCCTAGATACTACTGAATTCTTGCCTGGATACTACTGGATACCAGACTCTGTATAATACCGGATACAATACAATACTGGCCCTAGACCCTGCAAAACCGGATACTACACAATACTGGATCCCAGACCGTGTATAATACCGGAAACTACACAATACTGGCCCTAGACCCTGCAATACCGGATACTACACAATACTGGACCCTAGACCGTGTATAATACCGGATACTACACAATACTGGACCCCGGACCGTGTATAATACCAGATACTACACAATACTGGACCATGAGCCCTGTAAACTGAAAGGGGTTGAAGTATACAGATTATTTATCCAATAAAGTTTGAAGGGTAGAGAGCTGAAATAATGTTTCTGAATATAAACGATAAATAAGTTGGAGCTGAAAACTTTTGAAAAGACTAAATTGATTTAATTCGACTCAGGTGGGCGAAACGTTGAAGTAGGATATCTGGCTAAACCAAGCATTTCTAGGCTAAGCAGACATAGAATAGGATAAGAACTGATGCACGACACTTAGTCGGATTTAAGACACAAAAGTTTTGCCTGTAGAACTGAAATCGATTCCTGAAATGATAAGTTTAAAGATATAATTGTACGACCATACTCTGACTTTCCGATTACACACGGCATTTGGGCAGCCGGGGTTTTTTACTTTATTTTCCCCTGAAACGGATGAATAAGCCGCATGTAAAATATCAATTTTTCGATTCCTAAAATGATAAAAATATTTTTTCCTCCATTAAACCTGATTGAAAAGATTTATCCCAAGTTTTGTCTGAATGCTTCATTTTTCCAGTAATTTTGAAAAGCTTTATAAAACATAATTTACCGATTAAATACATACTAGCTGAAGTACCCGGCATTTCCCCTAGATTTTTAAAAACAATTAAACAGAACATTTCGGAAAAAATGGAATTGGGGGAAAAAAATTCGAATTTGGAAAAAAAATAGCCCGTGTTACCCCCAGGGTATTGGGTTCCCTCAAAAAATGTCAGCCCATTCGGTCCAGCCGTTTGGCCGGCTATAGCAAATATATAAAGGGTGAGTAAAAAACAGGGATTATCAATGTTTTGGACAAAATTTTCAAAATTAATATTATGTAAGGATTTAAAGCATAAATAAAATTAAGTGTAATAAGAAATCCGCAAAAAAATAGAGTGGACATCTGCAGTAAAAGTTGTCAAATTATAACCTTAGAACTGTTATGAATTCAAAAATGCAAATAATTGGCTTGCCTTTTTTGTTATATCTCATTCAATTTTTGATGAATTTTTATGAAATTTTGGAAAACAACACAATAAACGTACATTTTGTATATATGAGCGAAGAGCTCCATTATACAGATTTCTTTTTCTCTTATAGCTTTTTAAAATCCATTAAAATATTGTTTAATCTTTTCTATCCAATACAGGTCGTGTCGTCGAGTTTATTACATAAACTATCTTTTTAATAAGTCTACAGTTCACCTTTTACACGGTTAAGCTGTTTTCCCCCTCGCTAAAAGACCAATGGCATATATATAGATTGATAATGCCTATATTTTAAAGTTCTAACCCACGTGCCGTCATGCCCGGCGTTTTGCGGATCCAGGTAATCAGAAGAGCATTTGCCGGATCTAAGAGTTGAGAGATGGGAATATTTGTCGCGAAGTGAGATGTTTTCATCATAGATAAAAAACTTTTCTACAGTGAGAACAAAATGATATTTTACAGGGACAAAACCAAACTCATTGTCTTTCAGCAATTGTGTTGAGAGGATGAGGAGGTGAAAAGTAAGGTTTGTGGGACATGTCTGATACATTGATGAATGCGACATCATATTGGAATTCCGAATATTTTCAATAGTACTGTGGACACACAAAGCTTATATTGGGGAAAATTCAAACCATAAAGGGACTGTAAACGTAATTTCAATTGACGCTTCATTTAAAAAGCACTTTGCCCGATTTTCAACGGTACCCTTAAACCATTTGTGTGTTCGCCAAGTACAGAGATATGTGTGTGTAAACTTATCGAAACTCGCTTGAATGCCTTGTATTCAGTTGCGTACAGTTTGCGTTGTGTACAGCTGAATTCAGCAAAGCGCACACAGGAATTAGCCGCTGAATGAAAGCGGGTTAGGATAACTTTACACACGCATATCTCTCCTCTGTACTGGACAAACACACAAAGGTTTTAAGCGCACCGTTGTAAAGTAGGCACTGCCCTCTTTGCATGGAGAGTCACTTGAAATTGCGCTACAGTCCCTTTAATTGATTGTCATGTTTTGAAGAACTTTAGGTCAAATATTTTCTGAAGAAGGTTTTTAGTTCTAAGGTTTAGCATCATTTGAAATATTTCTGAAACTTTGACTTAAACGAATCAAATCTATATATATTTAATTTCATCCTTCTGCAGGTTAACTTAATCAAACCTTTTTCATAACTTATCCAATTATTAGGTTTAGAGTTGAGCTAGCATCAACTCAAATCAAATATTATTTATTTACGCAGAAAAATAACATTAAATAAGATAAATCAGTATTACAGGGGGTAGATTGATTGAAGCATGATC